GTAACCGCAAGTAGCGCCGCTTCCACCTCGTCTCCCCCGCCTTCCACTTCCACTATTGCGGCCGCTGACTTGCGGAGCGATTCCATATGCTGCCCAGTTTCCGTGCCTAGGACGGCGGCCGAGGCTGCTTCTGACTCGCCCATCATCATTCGCCCTCCGCCTTTCGCGCCTCTCCGCGCCGCCCCTGCTGCTCCTGCTGCTGCGGCGGCGGCTGCTGCTGCTCTCTGCCCGCTCGGCATCAGCTCAAACGCAGCCTCCTCCTCCTCCTCGTCCTCTTCCTCCTCTTCCTCCTCTTCTTCAGTTTCATCCTTGCCCTCCTCCTTCCGCTCTTTTCCCTCCTCTTCCTCCTCTGCCTCCTCCTTTGATATTTTCCCGCTGCTCCTACCCTCCGGTTCCTTCTCCTCCTCCACCTTCCCCTCTGTCTCATCCTCCTCATCCTCCGAATCCTCATCATCCTCTGCAGCCTTCTTTTCTTCCTCCTCCGAACTATCCTCCTCGACTCCTACCATTTCTTTCAACTCCTCATCCTTGCCTTCTTCCTCACCCTCATCCACCTCCTCCTCCTCCCCATCCTCCTCCTCCTCCTCTTCCTCCTCCTCCTCATCACTGCCATAGTAAGCAGCCCTTGCAGTACCCTTGCTCTTCTGCCCTTTGGTCTTCTTCACCTTCTTTTCTGCCCCAGCCTCATCCTTCTCCCCGCCTTCCACTGCCGCCGCTCCCTCCATCACCTCCTCCCCCTTCTTCCCCACTTCCTCCGCTTTCTCTCCGCCAACTGAACCCCCCGCATCCCCCACCACAACCCTCTCCTCATCCGCCCCTCCCTCCTCCTTTCCCCCGCCATACGCGCGGACAACCTCTCCCCCTTCCCCCCCACCTTCCGCGCTCTCCGCCTCTTCCCCCTCTTCCACACGTTTCAGCGCGCCCGTTGCAGTCTGCGCATCGGAAACATCCGATTCCCCCTCCGCATTTCCCCCCGGCTCCGCGCTTTTGCTCTTCCCCTCCTTCCCCTTCCCCTTCTTCCCCTCACCCGTAGAGAAAGACTTTGCGCGCGCGAACCCCAAGCCCCACCCGCGGTCCCGCGGACTCACCTCCGGAATGTCCGCGCCCCGCGTCCCCGCAGCTGCGCCCTTCCCCCCGCGCGGGGACGCCGCGACCGCAGACACCGACCGCAGCATCCCCCGCCCCCCTGCGCGAATCTTCTCCGCCAGCCCCGCCTTCTGCTGGGCCGCGCCCTTCTCCCCGCTCTCCGCGATCGTTTTCCCCCCATCCACCTCCGCTTCCCCCCGCGGAGTGACCACGTCAGCGCTTCCGCCGAAAAGGCCGCTGGGGCCGCCGCCGGTGGCGCTGAGCGGGTCGTCACTGAAAAAATCCTCCACGACGGACGCGATGGCGGTGTCCACGTGGAGCCCGGCGTGGGAGATCGGTGATGACGTGGCACCGGACGCTCTCCCCCCAGCTCCAGTGACTTTCTCCTCCGCGGCCGTGGGGGGTTCGGCAACGGCGGCGGCAGCGCCAACGGTGGCGGCAGCGACGGCGACGGCGGGAACTGCGGATGCGGAGGCGGAGGCGGAGGCGGAAGCGGAAGCGGAATCGCCCGGAGCCTGGTCTGCAGCGGCGTCCTTTCCGCCAAGCGCTCCTTCCTCCGCCCCGCCCATTGAACTGCTTCCAGTTGTCGCAACGGGAACGCTGCTGCTGTTGCTCCCGTCGTTCTCCGCCTCGTCTCCTTTGCTGCTACTGCCCCCCTTGCCCTCCTTCTCCTTCTTCGCTTTGCTCTCTTTCTCTTTGCCGGACCCCTTAGACGCCTTCTCCTGCTTGCCCTTGCTCGAGTCCTTGTCCTTTTCCTTGCTCTTCGCGTCCTCCTTCCCCGCTTTCTTCTCCTTCCCGCTGCCCTTCTTCGAGCTCTTGGTCTTGCCGAGAGACCTCTTCTGCTGCACCAATGGCAGCGTAACACGTGTAGGTATACGGGAGCAGGGGAACGGGAGAAATGAAACGGAAGAAATGGAAATAAGTGCGCTTGTATGAGAGAACGAGCGCCCCGATTAGACGCGGGTGTGCGATTTCTCTCCTCAAATTGAGGTACCGCCATGGCAGTTGTGTGGCTGCATTTGCTTCTGTGTTTGTTTTTATTTTTAGTTCTTTTCGATCTCTCGTTTATGCCATCAGATTGTTTTATTCGTCTTGCCTGGTGCCAGGGGGGGAGGGGGGAAGGAGTGGGGTGGGGGAGGGGGGGAGGGGGTAAGAGATCACAGGCTGGTTGCAAGACAAGGGAGAAACGGGTGAACGAAAGTCGAGCGGGACGGGTCAGTGAGGAACGTATCGAGCGCAGTTGAAGCTGAAGACTTCCGACCCGCGTTCCGCACCACAATACGCTGCGGAAGAGGTTCAATCCACAACCCCGCCTCCAATCCCGACGCGTCCTCATGGCAGTCTTTGTCAACCACCCCAACCTACCCTGCCCAATCCACTCTTACCGATTGCTCGGAGGAGTCATCTCTAGGTGTGCTGCTCGCCGTCCCACCATCGCCATCTTTAGAGCCCCCTTCGTCCTTAACTCCCTCCTCGACATCCTTCGAGCCTTGGTCGGGGCTCTTAGAACCCTCACCCACGGCCTTCTTCCGACCCTCTGCAGCATCACTCTCCGCAGCAAGGCTTACAACTGCAGCCAATCCCACATCGCTACTCTTAGGTGCTACCACCACTGGCGTCTCCCCCGTGACGAGCTGTTCATTCTCTCGCTCTCGCCCTTGCTCCTGTCCCTGCTCCGCCTCTTCGGCCTTCCCGCGCGCGCCTCCGTTTGGAGCTACGGCTGTCGCTGCTGCCGCAGCGGCTGCTGCAGCGGCCGCGGTTGAGGAAGGCGCTCCGCCGGTGGTTGCTGCCGCAGCGCGGTTTGGCGTCGGAGTGGCCGACGATGCGCCAGAGGCGGCGGACTTGGCGTCTCTAGCGCGCCTTTCTTCCTCGGTCAGGAACTGGTCCGTGCTGTGGCAACAGCCCATCGCTGCTCCTCGCTTGAAGTACTAAGAATTGTCGTCGGAAGAACCGATGCAGGATGAAACCCTAGACATACATAATTAAACCCTAATCTGCTGATGGCTCTGCTCGAGACATCCGAAAGCCGCTCCGTGCAACGCTAAGTTGGCTAACGCAGCTGGTGGTTAGCTACAGAATGGCTGCACGATATGCTTGCAACTCTCCCAATTAAAATGGATTAAACTTCTAGGGCAAGTGATTCTTTCTGTTACGCGTGAGTGACAGGTTAGCATGGCTAAACCTCAATGGAGTCAAATAAATAGCTAAGGGGAAACTAATCCTTCCTACGACTGCCAGAACCAAAAACTCTGGATAAGGTGGGGCTAAAATGGCGACAATTACTACAATTACTAGAAGGCAGCATAGCAAGCCACTAGTACCACTGAATAACGCTAGGAGAGGGAAGCAATGTCAATAACGCTACCATACCACCCCAACCAACTCCAACGAGGAGCCGAGCCAGTCCCAGGCCGTAAGGAGAGGCTGGGCAGTGATGCCGAGCTTGGTTGCCCAAGCGCTGGTTAGCTTTGCTGTGCTTCTCCGTGGTGCCATAGCAAGTGAAACTAGGCATGAGGTTTGGGAGTCAACTGACCGACATGGAGGTTAGGGATTGCTTGGGTACCGAGGAGTAAACGAAATCAGGCGATTTGAAAGTTCGCAGTGCTCTAAGAACAATTTCAGTAACCCGTTTGGTGAAAAGCAGTATCGTGCTTCTTGTTGGTTGTACCCACGAAGCGCAACTAGCACCTTGGATGCCACGTAGCTGAACAGGAGGGCAATGCACCAATGGAATGTACCGCTGAGCGCCTTCGAAGATATCGGAATGTCGCGTGAATGGCAGCACGAACAAGAAACGACGTTGCGATGCGATGTACGAAAAAGGGTATGGACGCCCATTGGCCCGCTTGGTGATCCCTCATTGAAGATGGGACCATCTCCTTTTGAAGTGTTTCACAAAGGAAAGGACGCCTAGTTTCATGAGTGTACTTGTACTTGTGTTACGGGTGCAATGAATCGAAGTAGCGAGTATCGAAGTAGTGCTATGCTGGCAGCGAGGCTCGGGCTAGTCCCGAAGCGTAGGCCGAAACGGCCGGGCCAGCAGTGCGAGGTTTGGCAAAACAGTGCGCGCGAAGTTGGCGAAGTCCCGTTAGCAGTAACGGGCGAACAACGGCTGTTGTTGTACGCGATGTAGTCGGGCTCCGTAAGGAATGCCGAGAAAATTCCTTACAACTTGATAATAATGAGCTGGATACTCCGTTGGACAATAGAAGTGCACATCAATAATACAATTCAGCCATTATAGACAGCTCTAACTTTTCATTATCCCTACATAATGACATAGATGGCATTCTTTTGGAAGAAACAGACGAATGTGTGTTTCAGTCAGTTGATGCCAAATAGCAAAAATCGTTTTGTAACAGCATATTATCTTGTATTTAAAAAGGGGTTTTAAGACCACCTCATTCCACACTCATAACCTGCCACTCTGTTCCTTTCCAAGTCGAGACCCCATCGCTATACTGCCATTGAAAATAGGAAACTCCGTCGCCTAAATGGCTGACAGGGTCGCTGTGGGAGGCAAACTCTCGGCGCGTGCCGTTTTTCTGACATTTCCGGTTTCACCGGACGTTACTTGCTCGACAAGGCACCTCTCGCTTCCTCAAACCTATTCAATACAGGCCAAGTCGGGAGCCGGCACCGACCCCGCTCGAGACGCTTTAACGCGGCTTGCCAGGCTGCATCCACGAGGATGCGTAACTCACTCCTCCCGCTGCGAATTCGGTGCTGGGCACGCCGCATCCGACGGATCCGGATTCGCGCGAAGCGCCGTCTTAAGGGGGGATGCTCGTGCAAGCTCTTGTGTCAGTTGCCGCTGCAGCCAGGGGAGCTATGGCGACGCGAACGCCGGCGGAGGGGATGATGCGAGTGAAGAAATTGGGAGGAGCAGCTGGAGAGACGGTGAGAGCCCCGGAATGTCACGAAAAGAGAGCAGAAGCACGAGCAACGCGAACAGCAGCAGCAGCAGCAGCAGCAGCGATGGCCATGGCTTTGGCGGTGATAGCACGTCTGTCGATGGTGCCACGGCGGGTAACAGCAGCGCCGAATGCGCCGGCACTACTAGCGCAGAACCGACACCCAGCAATGCGGTGGAAACCGGAGGTGGCAGCAGCAGTAGTGGTCTGGTGGGCAGCAAGCGCGGGTCTGCCAAGGCGAGAGGGCGCAAAATGGAACGGGAACGGGAACCTCTCAAACGGTATACCGCTCAACCCTCCGCGCACGCTGGTCTACCAAGGCGAGAGGCTGCCCGTCCCGTTCCTATCGGAGAGGTTCACGCAGCACGCCACGCGGCGCGCGTTGTGCGCTCGCACGGGCTCTCGGCACTCTCTGCGCACGTGCTTCATTCTCCCTCAGCTGGGGACACCCACACTGGTGGGGCAGATGGCGCAGCGGGAGGGGAGAAGGTGAAAAGAGAGGCAGTGGGAGAGAGGGAGTGGCGTGCTGCTGTAGCGGACTGCATGCAGTGGGTGGAGGGTGATGAGAAGGGGCTTTTCGGCTCGGCAGGCAGCGTCGCCAGTAGCTGCAGCAGCGGTGGCGTTGGTGGGAGTGGCGGCAGGGACGAGGGTGCCGATGAGTCGTTGATTGAGAGCGTGCGCAAGCTGCCACCTAATCGGTATCTAATCTAAACTCACGAATGTTTCAATGCTTCCATGCTTCCATGTTTCTATCCCGGTGCGCACTTTGACCTACAACCAAGGCCAGCCCCTTCCCTTGCACCAGCTCTATTTCCACAACTCCACCTTCCCCTCCCTACTGCACATCCCTCGCCTTCCTCTAACTGTGTCACCAGCTTCCCAGCGCTCCTGCCTCGCTATGTGGCCCTGCGATCGGCCATCCAACCATGGAGCGACCTGTTCTTTCGCCGGCACAGCCGCCGACCCACCGTGAGTGCTTTAACGTCTCGTGGTGCTCGCTCATCGTATCATGAGTTGTTGCTTATCGTTGGTCGGTCATCTGATGAGATGTGGCTGGCCGTTCTCCTGTCGAAGCGGGAAGAGGTGCAGCAGGAATGTGCATGGCGTGTTGCAAGCAGCTACTCTCCTCATTCCTGTGGAGTTCACAGTGCAGTGCAGGCTGGTGTGATGTCTGCAGCCTGCCTCCTGGATACTCAACAACACCTACCAATTGCCTTGATTCTTATCCCATCGCATGTTACGACATGGTGCGGCATGGCACGGCATGGATCCGCATGGCATGGCATGTGCACACGAGCAGATGACGGACGTGCATGGCACGCACATGCCATGGCTAGTGGAGCACTTTCATCTCTTCCGCATAGTCATGCTGCGCCTGCGCCCCCACGTGCTAGACCAAGGCCACCCTGACAATGCCGCTCAGCTCGCTAAAGCCCGCGCAGCCTTCACCCTTGACAGCACCTTTGCTGCTCGACCGGAGCGACTAACTCCACAAGCCAGATGGAGAGCGACCACCACATCCCGTCTTTCCTCCTCTTCGTCTTCCGCCTCCTCCTCTTCCTCCTCATCCTCTTTCTCTTCCTCGTCGTTCTCTGGCGCGCAGTATCCCTCCAATCCGCCGTCCTCCCCGCCTGTCTCCTTCTACTCCTACTCATCCTCGGCAGCCTTCCCGGATTCCCACACTTCCCAGTCCTCCCCGTTGTGGCTACACCCCCCTGCTCCTCCAGCTGCTGCTGGCGCCTCCCCTGCTCCTAGCCCTTCCTTTCTGCCGCCTCCTCCCTCACTTGTCTCGTCCAACGTGGCTGCTTCGTTCGATGACGTGGACGAGTGGCTGCTTTCTGTGGGGGGAGATGGCGGTTCAGAGGGGAATGGGGGAACAGAGCTTCTGAACACGCAACAGTCGTTGCGTTGGCAAGAGCAGCAGCTGCAACAGCAGCAGCAGCAACAGCAGCAGCAACAGCAACAGCAGCAGCAGCAGCAACCGGTGAAACAATTAGAGCAGCAGTAGGAGCAGCGGCAGGAGCAGCAGGAGCTATTCCAAGGCGCGGTGAACGCAAACCACTTGGTCGCGCAGTGGAAACAGCAGGCTTGGAGGCGAGGGTTGGGCGAGCGAGGGAGGAGCAGAGGCCGGAGAGACGATTCCAGGGAACGTCGTGAGGAAACGGTGCTACGGGGAGAGAAAGAAGAGGGGAGAGGAGGAGGGAAGGGAGAGGGGGTGCAGGCGCGTGGGAGGGAGTTGTGGGAGTGGAAGGTTCACACGGACGTGATTGGTGGAGTGAAGGGTGTTGGCGTGTGGAGGGTAGAGAAGGGAGGGTTGAATGAGGTAGGGTCAGAAGAGCGAGAATCGGGAGGGTTGGAAGAGCAAGGGTTGGGAGAAGGATGGTTGGGAGAGGGAGGGTTGGGAGAGGGAGGGTTGGGAGAGCGAGGGTTGGGAGAGGGAGGGTTGAAAGAGAGAGGGTTGGGAGACGGAGGGTTGGGAGAGGATGCGTTGCGAGAAGGAGGTTTAGGATATAGTGCTTCGGACGAGGAAGGGCCATCAGTTAACCATTCAACTGCAGCTGCAGGCAGAGATCAAGACAGGCAATCCAGTAATACCTCCAGTAATACCTCCAGTAGCACACGTGTGCAGGGGCAACCAGCATGCAATGATGATCCAGGAACAGGGGTAGGCTTGAAACAGAGCGGCGATGCTCCACAGAACTTTGAAGGCAGGATATTTGATGAGGGGAGTGAGGGGGAGGGGGGGAAGGAGGAGGTGGGGGAGGGGGAGGTGGGAGACGAGGAGGGGGGAAGCCCCTCGGCTGCTGAAGAAGTGGAAGCAAGTGGAATAGATGTGGGATGTGAGGATTTGGGTGGCTTGGGCTTTAAGCAGGGGGCTGGGGTTGAGTGGGGGTTGAGTAGGATTATGCGAGAGGTGGAGGAAGGGCAGGGAGGGGCACCGCAGCAAGGGGAGGAGGATATTGGTGACAGGTTAGGTAAGAAGGAAGATATAGATTCGTCGGATTCCTTGAGAGGGGTCCTTCGGCAGGTGGATGAGGAAGAGAACTGATTGGCGATAGCAGTTTGTATAATATGTTGTAGCTACGTTCCGTTTGTAACAATAGGATGACATGCCAGTGTTGCATTTTTATCGTGGCGGTCATCTCAGTCGTTGGCCCCAGCTCTATTCGTCATTCGGCGTCTATTGAGATATGTGAGTAACAGTACACTCGCGAATGCTGAAGTTTTGTTCGCAAGTGATACCACTGCACAACTCGCCTGACATGTATGTACAATTGTTAGTTGGGATCAAATGAAGGCCAGCCTCTTGTGTGGCTCAGTTACACGTTTGGTTGATTTGGTGCACTGAAATTTCGGCGCCGCTTATGTTGGAGATGGGCTTGGGAATGCCGTTCATTCCTTTGGGTACCTCTGTCGATGGTAGTTGAGATGTGTACACGTGTCCCATAATCTTGTCCGTGTGCGCTTTAGTGAGTCAGCTTCGCCTTGAAGTTTCGTGGCCTCTCGGTCAGGAGAACTTTTTCCAACGCCATTCCAGCATCTTCAGGAAAATCTTCGTTGGCACCACGAGGATATACGGCGCGCATCGAGATCATCTCCGGCGCCTCGCCACGCAAGATCCGCACTTCTGTGGCTGCCCACCCCCCTGATCCTGCTAGGCCGAATCGCACTGGATGATCAGCTGCCGCCTCGCATGTCACGGCTCCTGCTGGTTGAGGCCGCAGTCCTGGCGCACTATGAGGTGGCAAGCTTTGATTAGCCCATCTCTAGTTGGGCTTTTCGCGATTGCTTACAGGGCACTCTCGCCTCGCCTTGCTGGTTGGAGCTCTTGGTCGAGACGCAGCGCCTTCCGCGGTCATGCCTGCTCTCGTCGGCGACATTCGCGAAAACTGTTCCCGTCTGACGTTGACGAAGAGATTCGCATATCCAGAAACCCCATAACTCTACTCAATCTTATTAAAAGCCTCTACAGACCTCTCCATTCCTCAATCCTTCTTACACTAGCTTTTGGCCATAACTTCATATATTTGCCAGCATTGCGCCCACCCTGCCACCACCAACCAGCCAGTCCCTGCAAAAAGCCCAGCAATTCCCGCCAAACCACGGACCAACACCAGTGACCGCACCTATACGAGCCCCTTTTCCCTCCGACACCACAACACTGGCAAACACCCCCTCGAGTAGTTGTTGATCACTCCAGCAACTCGACTGACTGCAGCCGATCGCGCGGGAACAGGTCAACCAGCAGCAGGAGAACGCAGTTCATTATCGCTGTGCCTCTCTCTATCCCCGCATTTCCTTCAACCTTGTGGAGCCGAGATAGATTGGCAGCTGGCCCTTCAGTCCTAGCGTCACTGTTGATGTTACATCGGCTCACAACAATTTTATTCAGGCACCATCTCGGCGCTTTGTCACTAACTTCATCCAGGCCTCTCCTCCTATCCATTTGAAGTCTGTTTTGAGTACAACCTTCGCAACCTTTCTCTTCGAGCCGTCCTCTTGGCGCGTTCCCGCGTCTTCTGGTGCAATTGAACCCCTTTGCAACGTGAGTGCGCCCAATCAGCACATGGCAGTGCGCGCTCCGCCGTGCCCATGTCTCACTGACCAGCGCGCATGCGCGTCCGCCATGTTCTCCGCGCAACCTTCCTCTCTCCGCGCGCACTTTCTCGGAACCTGGCCGTCGCATCAGGCGCACCGCCATCACCAGTTGCACACCAGTTTCCAGCCAACCTCTCCCCTCAAACTCACTCGCGCGCAAGCCGCCGAACAACCCACCAATTCCAGCCTCGTTCCGCCCACTCATGGCGGCAATTCCGCTGCAATTCCGCTTCCAGGCCGCGGCTCGGTGGCTAGCAGGGCGGCCGTGACATCTCAGCCGATGCCGGACTCCGGAGGATTCTTCCGCGCGCCTTCGCCTGTACCCATGCTGCAAAAAAATTTTCAGGCTGCAAGTGCCGCTGCAATTGCCGTGCCTCTTAAGTTTCCCCAACCCACTGCAGAAGCTCCTCCGAAAACAGTCACCAAGACTACCCCCACCGAAGCCGCCGCCGCCGGGGCCGCTACAGCTACCGCCGCTAATGCGGCGTCTGCCGCCGTTTTGACAGGAGTGGGCGCGCGATCGCCGGCGGTCGCGAAGAACAAGGCGCGATCCGGCTGGCGCAGCGATCTGCACATCAGCCGCGCGCTGCCGCTGCCCATGACCGCGCCGAACTCGCAGCCGTTACCGTTGGAGGCGGTGGAAGAGATGGTTCGCTGCGACCCTGAGATGCAGGTACGACTGCCCGCGTGCTCTGGGATCAATCGCGCCTCGAGCCGGAATTTTGACACGCGCAGCAATTTACGTAGAACGCGCGAATCGGCGGTGGCCTGGCGTGAATTTTCCCGATTCGGCGTGAACTGGCGGGATTCGGCGTGATTTAGCGCGAATTGGCGGGAAATTGGCGGGAATTGGCGTGACTCGACGTGAATTGACATAAACCGGCGATGCTTGATTGTGCAGGACTGCAAGGAGGTGGTGTATCAGTGGACGGGCAAGTGCACGCGGTGCAGCGGCACTGGGTACGTGTCGTTCAGGCGCAAGCGAGGCAAGGACTACACGGGCACGTGCATCACCTGCTCTGGCATCGGTACGACATTGAATAAAATTTTCGGATTCACAATCGCTCGCTATTCTCTCCCGTTCTCTCTCGCACTTTCCTTACCTACCACTCTCGCTTTCCCAGTTGCCAGTTCCCGTGCCTGTCAAACGGATCAGCTCACCCCCTGCCCTGGTTCTGCATACTGTGCATGTCAGGCTACGTGCAGCGATTCACAGTGCGGGATAGCATTCGGGTTATGGAGGAGCTGGAAGAGAACCCGTGGCGGTGAAGCTAATTGAGAACACTGTCTCAACCAAAGCGTTAGAATCGACAATAGCTGTAGCTTACATAAACTAATCCCTTGGATGTACCTCCAAGAAAGGAAGTGGGGAGGGAGAGCGGGGAGCGGGACTTGGGGAGCACCTGCCAGCGAGCGGCATCGGCAGGATAAGATGTTACGGAGGGAGAAACAGGAATATCCTTAGAACGGTACCTTAGTAGGCACTTGAGTTGCACATCAGAGGTATATGTATGTATGTCCGTCGGTGTGTTTTTCCGACCAGAATGGAAGGGGCAGAGGTAGACTTGTGTTAGGGAGGAAAAGAGGAAGCGGAAGCTTCCCTTGTACCTCCAGTTGTGCCGGATTATATTACCTTAGTGTAGACTCTTTCCATCCAGTGCAATGTGAGTGTGGTGCCAGCTGTCATGGAGTGCAAGATCACAAGGATTCCCTTCACTGGATGGAAACATGCATGCAAGTGCACATGCTAAACGATGACCAACCACCACCCTCCGTGATAAAACAGCTGTGTGCTGAAAGGAAGAGATGGCTTAATTGATCGAAGTGATTTCCTTATAGCCCTGGCTGCCACGTGGACACATGTATGCATGCATGGTGTCGTTGCGTGTGGTGCGTGTTTCATCAGAACCTAAACTGCCTGCATGGTGCCCTGCCATGGTGCCCTCTCACGTGCCACCTGCTGTGCCACATGCCATGCCATGCCACACCATGCCATCCATCACGTGCACCACTGGCTCCATTTAATCATCGATCATCTCTCATTCCCTCTTGATCCCCCCTCCTTCCCCTCCCCATCCCCTCCCCTCCCCTCCCCTCACCCACTCTCAAATGTTTCTCCCCCTCCGCCCTTTCTACCATCGCTCCATCTCCCCTCTCTTCCCCGTCCTCCCTCCACCCGTTTTCCTCCCTGCTGCATCCACCACAGCAGCACAGGTGGCAGCAGCTCCTCACCTCCCTTCACCCACTATCACTTTTCCCTCCCCTCCCTTCCTTTCTACCATCGTTCCTCCTCGGCTCTTTTCCCCGTCCTCTCTCCACCTTGCTCTTTCCGCCCTGCTGTTTCCACCACAGCAGTTCAGGGGGTAGCAACCCCTCATCTCCACCCACTGCTGCTGCAGCAGCGTGTTTCGCCACCCACCCATGGTATATCAGACCGCGTGATCCAAGGCCTCCCACTATCCACACCGATGGGCCCGGTTGGGCAGCAGGAGCAGCAAGAGCAACACCGCCTCCCTCCACACCAGCAACACCACCGTCCTCCACGCCCTCTTCTCCTGCACATTCACTCCCTCCCAACGCACGACCCCTCCCCACCTCCTCCCCGCCCCCATTCCTCCCCTTGCTCCCTCCACCCACTACCCCTAGCAGCACCCCTTCCACTCGTCCCGCCACTGGCACACGGCCTAGGGATGAGCGAGGGGGCATAGCCCTTATGCCTGTCACGCTGCGCACGACTTCCCAGGAGGAAAGAGCTGGGAGAAGGGAGGTGAGGGAGGTGACAAGGGTGGCCGAGGCTGCAGCGATTTCATCGGGAGGGGGAGGTGGGAAGGGTGCGAAGGGGGAAGGTGATGGAGTGTTGGTGGTGGTGCTGGTGCTGGTGCTGGTGCTGGTGCTGTGGGGAAAAGAAGGATCGGATGTAAAAGGCACAGGGGGGAGCGGGAGGTTGTGGTTGGTGGCACCAACAGCAATGCGGTGAGGAGCGCGGGCAGACACCCATGTGGAGCCGAGGAGACTGGGAGCAGATGCTGGGAAGAGGGGAGGCGCGGAGGCAGGTGCGGGTGGAGAGAGTGTGGAGGAAGGAGAGGAGTGGGAGGAAGGAGGAGGGGAGAGGTGAAGGATGTGGCCTCGAGAGAGTGAGAAGGAGGAGAGATGAGATGCGACTTCTGGAAGAGCGAGTGCGTGGGCACCCATACACACAAACACAACGTCAAAGGGGAAACTGCTGCTGCTGCTGCTGCTGCTGCTGCTGCAACTGCCACCACTGCTGCTGCCGCTGTCACTACCACTGCTGCTGCCGCTGTCACTACCACTGCTGGTGCTGCTGCCAACAGTGCTGCTGCTGCCAACGGTGGTGGTGGCAGGCAGAGATGCGAGGGCGGCCAAGGAGGGCAGGGAGGCGAGCACTAGGCGAGCGTGGGTGCCCAGACTGCCGCCTGCTGCTGCCTCACTGGCGAAGCGCACACATGCACCCCACAGGGACTGATAGCACAGTTGGGAGGGTGGGGGTGGGAGATGGGGTTGGGGATGGGAGTGGGGATAAGTGTGGGAGTGGGAGTGGGGTTGAAGGGGATAAGTGGGTGTGTGCTTGAGTGTGCAAAGGGGAGAGGGGGTATGAGTAACGGGGATGACTCATGTTGCACCAAATGTGTGGGTGGATGATGACGGCTTCTCATACTTTTTTATAATTCTAAAAAAACATGAGAATTGCAAATGTGTGGCTGGAGTGGATGATGATGATGATGACTGCTTCTGGTACGAGCATTGCACGTCGGAACCAAGAGGCACATCAATACAAAAGGAGCCTCTGTACGAAAATCGCCTGTGAAAAGAGAGACTCTCCTTGAGACACCTAGGAAAAATAGGTCACCTTGAAACAGAATCAGGGTGGACTCAGGGCGGATAGACGATGAGGGCTTGAGTTGTCCGGAGGGGGGGGAGGGGGGGGCTAACAAGGGGCTTGACAAAGAGCAAACGAAAAGAAGAAACGCCAGAGAACGAGAGGTGCTTCTGAGCGAGGCTAGAGGGCGATGGCTGGCTGGCTCACCTTGAGATAGACTCGCGGGTGGATGGTGAGGGCTTCTGGCACGAGCATCGCACAGGAGGGGTGGGCGCTGGGGTGAGGGGAGGAGGTAGGTAGAGCGGGCTGCATGTGAGGAGGAAAGAGGGTGAGTGCGGAGGAAGCAGAGAGGCAGAGTGGTGAGATGGGAGAGGGAGAGGGGGAGGAAGGGAGGGAGGACGGGGAGGAGGAGGTGGAGGAGGAGGTGGAGGAGGAGGAGGAGGAGGAGGAGGAGGAGGAGGAGGAGGAGGAGGAGGAGGAGGAGGAGGAGGAGGAGGAGGAGGAGGAGGAGGAGGAGGAAGAGGAGGAGGAGGAGGAGGAGGAGGAGGAGGAGGAGGAGGAGGAGGAGGAGGAGGAGGAGGAGGAGGAGGAAAAGGAGGAGGAGGAGGGTAGTGGTGGAGCGGTATGAGGTGTAGGGTGAGGAGATGGGGACACTGTGTCATGCGCACTGCTACTGCTCGCTACTCCCCCTGTTGCTCCTGCTGCTGTGGCACTGGCTGGTGTGGCTTCAGCTGCTGTGCTGCTCCCCTCTGCTGTCATGCCGATGGGGTGCTGTCCCTCCCATTCCACCATGGGACCTGCATACTGTACTCACACATGCCATGCCGTGCAAGCAATGCCATGCAATTCCATACCATGCCATGCCATGCCACAGCATGTCATTTGATACCACGCACATGGGATCGGATCGTGTAACGATTAGTAGAGTGTCGTGTCGTGACCCAGAAAGGCCCACGTGCTGTGAGCCAGTGAGCACGGCTCGTTGTGGTGGTCCCAGTAAAGACTGACTGCGCGCAATACATGGGGCAGGACCAGCCAAGGACTCAGACACTCGGACACTCGGACACTCAGACACTCAGCCATGTTGCATGGGTGCTGAGAGTTTGGAGAGCTCGGAGGGTTGGGCACGTTACGGGCATTGAGAGCAGAGTGAGTAATCTACCTGGAGAAAGTCTTGCGAGTGGCTTGGCTTTTCCGACTTTGGAGAAGTCTCAGAAGTGAGTTATGGGCATAGAGAGCACAGTGAGTAATCTACCTGGAGAAAGTCCTGTGAGTGGCTTGGCTTTTCCGGGAGCCTGAGCGCCCCCCTGTGCTGTGGACCAGGGGCGCATGTGCATTGCCATGCCGTGACACCATGCACCACCGCCATGCCGCCAACATGCACCACCGCCATGCGAGAGATAAGAGAGACACACAGAGACAGACAGACAGACGGATCGATTGATTGATTGTCTGAGAGACCGACAGATGGACAAGGCAGACAGTCAGGGCACGGCACGGACAAAAAAATGACACGCAGTCGGGGCGATGCAGGGAGAGGGGAAGGCAGAAGAACATGCAGGCACCCTCTAGCTCTCTTCACACAGAATAGCCCCCATGGCCGACGCAACCCCCCACAGAATTCCCCTTTTGGGGTTCCCCCAAATTTTCCCCCATGGGCCTATTCCCATGGGACTTTCCATCCCACATAAGATTTCCCCATGCCAGCAGCCTTACCTGCGCAAGATAAGGGAGCGCCTGGGTCCTCCCTCGCCCTGCTCCTCCACCTCGTCCGCCTCCCACCCACCCCACTCTCTGCTTCCCTCCCCCTCTTCCCCCTCTCCCTCCCCCTCCCCCTCCCCCTCCCACTCGCCCCTCCGCCTGAGCTCCCCCTCCGCCACTGCTAGTAGCTCTAGGGTGCACCGCCACCCCTCCTCGCCCCTCCACAGCAGCCGCCCTGCGGGGTTGGGGCGGGGGAGGGCGTGAGAAGATGGAATGTGCACTGAGAACAGGGGTGTATGGACGGAGTATGGGGAATGGCAGTAGAGCAAAGAGCCTGAGCTCCCCCTCCGCCACTGCTAGTAGCTCCAGGGTGCACCGCCACCCCTCCTCGCCCCTCCACTGCAGCCGCCCTAGAAGGGTGGAGAGAGGGGGAGGGGTTTGGTGATATGATTTTTGCGTCCACTTAAAAAAAAACTCCTCGCCCCTCCACAGCAGCCGCCCTGGGAGGGGCGGAGAAGGGGAGGGGTGGGGGACGGGCGTGGAAAGGAAGGGAGTGGGGAAAGGGGGTGGGAGAAGGATGTGGGGGGAACGCAGGGATGTGAGGTATGGAGTTAGGAAGGACGAGCATGGGGCAGAAGTACCTTCACAGTACCATGGTTCCTGGCAGGTGATACAAGCACTGGCATGGTATAGCATGCATACCAGTATTTAGAGGCGCCTAGATAGAAACGTCTCGGCATAGCATGGGTGGCAGTGCTTCACGGTACCCTGGAACAGCATCAGTTGTGTGGCATGGCACGGCAAATCACAGCATGGCATGGCTCGGCACAGCACGGCACGTCACGGCACAGCACGGCACGGCACGGCACGGCACGGCACGGCACGGCACGGCACGGCACGGCACGGCACAGCACGGCACGGCACGGCACAGCACGGCACGGCATGGCACGGGGCACGGCAACGCGACGTGCCTTTGGGAGAGAAGGGATGCAGCAGCCCCCCTGACACGCCTGAAGCACCTGCGCCAATGCCTGTGGCGTCCACCAGCGTCACCTGCACGGGCCTGCTGCTGCTCGTGTGCTGGTGGGCAGGCGGGCGGGCACACATAAAATAGGAGAGCACATGGAATGAGCATGCAGAGCACATGGAGTGAGCATGCAGAGCACATGGAGTGAGCATGTGAGCATCTCTTAGCATTCTCTTAAAGTACCCTCCACCTGCAGCGTCCACCAGTGTCACCTGCACGGGCCTGCTGCTGCTCGAGTGCTGGTGGGCGGGCATACAACATACGAAAGGAGTGTGCATGCAGATGCAGCAGAGTGTGCATAACAACAAGAGGGTGTGTGCATTTAGCAGTGTGCGTACAGAGCAGAGCACATGGGGCGGGCGGCCATTTCATAGAAATCTCGCATGGGCGTTACTTGGGTTGGGTGGGCGCACATGAGCTGTTGAGCCTGAAAAACGTTAGACCCTCTCAGATGCAAGCGGGCCAATGGTTGACACAGCTGGGCCCCTCCCACACATACGTATGCTATATGCGTGGGAGGCGTGGCATGACACTCCACGTATGCTATATACATACGCAGCATGGTATGTCGCAAGCCACATGCTACAGCTGCCTGTCTCATCTTATATATATACCACAGCATGCAACTATAGTATGCCATGCTTTTAAGGCGCCTGAAAAGTCGCCGCACATGCAGCGTATACAGCACGACATGCCATGCCACCACAAAATCACGTCCCTCCCTCCCCTCCCCTCCCCTCCTCTCCCCCCCCTCCCCCCCCCCCCCCCTCCCCCTCTCCGCTTCCCATCCCTCCCCTCACCTCACCTCCCTCCCCCCACCTGCAGCACGTGCCATGCTGTCGCCACCCCTGCAAAGCCTGCTCCCACCACTGCCACTCGCAGGGGCGCTGCTGCCTGCATGCCCAAGCGGAGTGGTGCAGAGGGGTGGAGGAGGGTCATTGGGGATGACGGAGGGTGCAGATGGTGCGGAAGAATAGGGGGTAAGTGCACAGCAACACAAGGGAGTCAAGACAAGACAAGTCAAGAAATAGAAACCACTGTACAATGCGAGTGATGGCTGTGATGCGAGAGCAATTGCCATACCACACGAGTACCGTTTGAGCTGTGCGTGAGAGCAAAGCACTCACCCACCCACCACCCACCCATTGAGGCGAAATCTTCTGAGAATGTTCACAAGCGAAGGCTAGACAGAAGGGAAGCACTACCATACCACCATGGAGAAGGAGTGATGAGAAAAGACGAGGAGCAGAGTGAGAAGCGGAGGAGAGGAGAAGCCAAGGGTACCTGCGACGAGTTCTCAGTATCTGCTGTCTCGGTAGAGGCAGCAGCGGATGGCCTGGTCTCACAGCCACCTTGTGCGCTCCTGCAGCTGATCTCTCGTTGGTTTCCTGGGGGACTGGTGGTTGTGGCTCTGAAGGAGTGATGGTCGGCACTAGTGGGGTTGGTGGAATTAGCAGAGACTTTCAAGACAGCAGCTGCTCTGCTGCTGCTGGCCGTCTTGAAAGTATGTTCTGAAGGATACGCGGAGGGTGAATTCTGCCTTGTAGGCGCGCCATTCGCGGCGGCAGGTGCGGAACATTGTGAGAACTGAGGCACCTGGTTTGGTGCTCGGATCGCGTTCAGGAATCTGGGGATGTGAGGTCTCGCGACCCGCATGGCCTTGTTAGAAACAGGCATGGATCCGTTGGATCCGTTAAGAGATCTGGCGTTAGGCGATAGAAGCCAGTTTCGTTGAACTTTGAGTGGGCAACCATTCGCGAAGGCGTTTGTCGAGCAAAGAAGTGCATTCGTTGTGTTTGCGAAGGAATGAATCCCGGCTTTGCATTTCCACGTGTCGAAAAGTGAGTGGCGCTTGAGGGTGGGAGAAACCAGGAGCCGCGGGGAGTGAGTACGAGGTGAAACGTCGCGAGGACTCAGAGTGGCCGGCAAGAGGGGACTGGAAGGGCGCGAGCGAACGAACACAACGGACGGGGTTGCCAGCATGGCGTGATATGAGCAGACGAGCAGCGAGCAGACGAGCAGACGAGCGAATTCGGTAGAACGACTATCGGTGCTGGTACAAGGTGTGCTTCAGATGGAGAGAAATGGCTGCGAACTTGACAAAACGGATATGGCTGACGGCTATTACGGACAGTCCCACAAATGCTGCTACTTGGAATCAGTGCAAGTGTTCAGTCTCCAGTTGCTCAGGGTGATTCGCAGCCAATCATCTTCCGTGATCCAAACCGACGATCCAGTTACAGTAACATGCGAACTAACCAGTCGACTTTTCGTCGAACAATAGCCCACGCAGAATTAATTTCGTGCACTCGCTGTGTAACATGATGTGATGTATCTTGGAGGGAGTTGGTCACGACTCACAACACGAAGGCCTTTTGTCCATCCCCCCCCCCTTTGGGCGGCACCCGTCCTCAGCTCCATATTTGTAGACTGCTAGGCATCTGTGTTCAACTCTCTCCCACGTCTCACTCTCACTCACTCTCACTCTCTCTCTCCCTCTCTATTTCTCACATCGGCCCGCGACCTCGATCATTTCCATGCAGCGGTTCGTCTAACTTTCCACCGTCCGCGCTACAAATTTGCCATCGCATCCGCGTTATACGCGGAATAATCTCGAGATACGAGCGAATATTTCCGTGCCGGAGCGGTTTCGAATTCATGACCAGGCGGATTACCGAAGGTCGAAGCGTGGATCACAGGGGGTTTGCGAGCTTAGGAGTGTAGTGTAGCCGTGTCGCGCCATGCGTCACTCGCACCTCCTGTAGCCTTGCGTCGCACGAGTCCGAGACGGCCCATGAGTGATCGAGCTTATTTCGTGACGCTGTGGTCAGCCCAACCGGCGACGGATCACCAAGACAAAGAAACCCGTTTAAGGAGCTATGGTTGACCGACGCAGTGGCAGTGGTGGCGGTGGTGCTGGTGGTGACGGCAGCGCCTCTAGCGCCGCGGCTGGTGCAGCAATCACGCCAGGAGATGGCGGTTCGAGATCCCGGACTACCAGCGACGACGAACGGGGAGGTCGCATGCTGCAGCCGCGCACGCAACTCGCTTTAGTCACAGGCGCTGCGGTACGGTCCATCCGAACTCGCGTTACTTTTTACAGAGGACGTGCCTGATCGGCCGACCTGCCTCTCCTCGCAGTCACGCCTCGTTACCGTGACTGACTGTAAGGATGCCTTTTGTGCAATGCTGATCGCCTGTGCAGAGTTTATTTTGACTCGCCACCACCTCTCAGATCAGATACGAAAACCCTCATCGCCCCACCCCTCTAAGTCTCACCCCTCGTAGGCTCCTTCTCCTAGACTCGTTCCTGGGAGAATTACCCCTAAAACCACCTGAAGCTCTACCTCCCATACATGTTCACCGCCTTGCATCTCTAAGTATCTTCATACCAGCGCATGCTTCCTCACCTCATTCTGTTGTACGAGCCTCGTCTCGTCTCGTCTCGTCCGTCCGCTTGCTTTGTGCCGTCTTGCCTCTGGGAATCCCCAAAAGTGTGATTCTTCACTCGTCCTGTCGCTCCTGTCTGCTCCCATGCTACTCCGCCTGCCTCCTGCCGCGCCCTACCTTGCCCTGCCTGCCCTCCTCGCTCTCTCCATTCACGCCTAATCATCCCTCCTCCCTCGCCCACCCACCCCTCTGCCTAACCGCGTGTGCAGATTGCGGCTGCGGTGCTGCTGCTGCGAGGACCACGCCCGTCTCTCAACGAGCGACTCAAGCAAGCCGCAGTAGGTCTTTCCAAGCGGCAAATATGGCGACTTCTCACTACTCTCTTTCTCACTACTCTCTTTCTCACTACTCTCCTTCCCCGAGCGCAGTCATTCCTTTTCTCCTCCCACTCTCTGTCTTTCATCCCTAACTTCTCCCTCCCTCCCCCTCACTTTCTCCCTCTCCTTGTCCCCCTCCGTGTCGCTCACCGCTCCCCTCCCCCTCGCCGCACCCTCGTCCTCCCAACTGAAGAGCGTGCAAGCACAGGCCAGGCAAGCTCAGAGCAGGTGGCAGCACCATGCAGCACAGCAGCAGGCAACAGGGAGGCACGCAGGAGGGGGATATCAGCAGCACCACCAGCAGCAGCAGCAGCAGCAGCAGCAGCAGCAGCAGCAGCAGCAGCAGCAGCAGCAGCATGAGCAGCAAGAGGCTGTGCCAAGCTCTCATGCTTCCGATGCCATGCACAGCCATAGCAGCAGCAGCAGCAGCAGCAGCAGCAGCAGCAGCAGCAGCAGCAGCAGCAGCAGCAGCAGCAGCAGCAGCAGCAGCAGCAGCAGCAGCGGCGGCGGCAGCAGCAGTAGCACGGCAAGTGGCGCCAGTGCTCCAGCTGAGGCAGTAGCAGGGAGCGCTAGAGTGAGGGGAGGAGCCAGTGTTGATCCACGGGTCTCTCAGCATGGGACAGCGGAAGCAGGAAGGGGAGGGGTTGGGCAGCGCGAGAGAGATGGTGTCGAGGAGGGAGTAAGAGGAGAGAGCACGGGTGGGGCTGACACGAGTTATGGCTCAGCTGGGTTGAATGGAGGGGGAGAGGGAGCAAGACGAGATGGCGAGGCTGGGGCGAAGGGTGAAGCTGAACGGGAGGAGGACCGGATGCGAGCGGAGGTGAGCCAAGTGAAATGTTTCGACAGTGGGCTGTGCTTGAAGTGCTGTGGCGTGTGCGCGCTATGTGCTTTTGAGAATTCTCAGTAGCACTTTGTGCTGGTGATTGTTTGGAGGTGAATTGAGGAGAGGAGTTTAGGACGTGAGCTCAGTAAGTGAGTTTAGGAGGTTATATTAGGAGGTGACTTTAAGAGGTCATTTCAGGAAGTGAATTTAGAAGATGAGTTTCGCTCCGCCATCTCCTCTTGAGTCGACTCAAAAGATGAGAATCGCTCCTCCATCCTCTCCTCCTGTCCCCTTTCCTCCCCATCTCCTCTCCCTCCCCACTCCCCCTCCCCAGGCAAGGCAGAGAGCAGCAGACGAGGAGTTGAGGCGGCAGCAGGACAAGTTCAGGAGGGCGTTTCACCGCTACCAGCATGCCAGCCGCACCCAGCACACCTTTAACTGGTACTGGGACGGCCGGTCCTTTGGCCACGGCTGGGACGAACGTGAGGAGCAGGCTCGGGAGGAGGAGCGGCGGAGAGGAGGAGGGGGAGGAGGGGGAGGGGGAAGGGGAGGGAGGTTGTGGGAGGAGATGGAGATGGTTACTGATCACTGGCATGCCCTGGGCCTTGACAGGTGCGTGTGCCTGCATGCCCTCGTATCCTCGTGCGCTCAAGACCCCATGCTCCTACGGTCCTGTTCTCCCATGCCTGCATGCCCTGATGGAGGTTGTGGGAGGAGATGGAGATGGTTACTGATCACTGGCATGCCCTGGGCCTTGACAGGTGCGTGTGCCTGCATGCCCTCGTATCCTCGTGCGCTCAAGACCCCATGCTCCTACGGTCCTGTTCTCCCATGCCTGCATGCCCTGATGGAGGTTGTGGGAGGAGATGGAGATGGTTACTGATCACTGGCATGCCCTGGGCCTTGACAGGTGCGTGTGCCTGCATGCCCTCGTATCCTCGTGCGCTCAAGACCCCATGCTCCTACGGTCCTGTTCTCCCATGCCTGCATGCCCTGATGGAGGTTGTGGGAGGAGATGGAGATGGTTACTGATCACTGGCATGCCCTGGGCCTTGACAGGTGCGTGTGCCTGCATGCCCTCGTATCCTCGTGCGCTCAAGACCCCATGCTCCTACGGTCCTGTTCTCCCATGCCTGCATGCCCTGATGGAGGTTGTGGGAGGAGATGGAGATGGTTACTGATCACTGGCATGCCCTGGGCCTTGACAGGTGCGTGTGCCTGCATGCCCTCGTATCCTCGTGCGCTCAAGACCCCATGCTCCTACGGTCCTGTTCTCCCATGCCTGCATGCCCTGATGGAGGTTGTGGGAGGAGATGGAGATGGTTACTGATCACTGGCATGCCCTGGGCCTTGACAGGTGCGTGTGCCTGCATGCCCTCGTATCCTCGTGCGCTCAAGACCCCATGCTCCTACGGTCCTGTTCTCCCATGCCTGCATGCCCTGATGGAGGTTGTGGGAGGAGATGGAGATGGTTACTGATCACTGGCATGCCCTGGGCCTTGACAGGTGCGTGTGCCTGCATGCCCTCGTATCCTCGTGCGCTCAAGACCCCATGCTCCTACGGTCCTGTTCTCCCATGCCTGCATGCCCTGATGGAGGTTGTGGGAGGAGATGGAGATGGTTACTGATCACTGGCATGCCCTGGGCCTTGACAGGTGCGTGTGCCTGCATGCCCTCGTATCCTCGTGCGCTCAAGACCCCATGCTCCTACGGTCCTGTTCTCCCATGCCTGCATGCCCTGATGGAGGTTGTGGGAGGAGATGGAGATGGTTACTGATCACTGGCATGCCCTGGGCCTTGACAGGTGCGTGTGCCTGCATGCCCTCGTATCCTCGTGCGCTCAAGACCCCATGCTCCTACGGTCCTGTTCTCCCATGCCTGCATGCCCTGATGGAGGTTGTGGGAGGAGATGGAGATGGTTACTGATCACTGGCATGCCCTGGGCCTTGACAGGTGCGTGTGCCTGCATGCCCTCGTATCCTCGTGCGCTCAAGACCCCATGCTCCTACGGTCCTGTTCTCCCATGCCTGCATGCCCTGATGGAGGTTGTGGGAGGAGATGGAGATGGTTACTGATCACTGGCATGCCCTGGGCCTTGACAGGTGCGTGTGCCTGCATGCCCTCGTATCCTCGTGCGCTCAAGACCCCATGCTCCTACGGTCCTGTTCTCCCATGCCTGCATGCCCTGATGGAGGTTGTGGGAGGAGATGGAGATGGTTACTGATCACTGGCATGCCCTGGGCCTTGACAGGTGCGTGTGCCTGCATGCCCTCGTATCCTCGTGCGCTCAAGACCCCATGCTCCTACGGTCCTGTTCTCCCATGCCTGCATGCCCTGATGGAGGTTGTGGGAGGAGATGGAGATGGTTACTGATCACTGGCATGCCCTGGGCCTTGACAGGTGCGTGTGCCTGCATGCCCTCGTATCCTCGTGCGCTCAAGACCCCATGCTCCTACGGTCCTGTTCTCCCATGCCTGCATGCCCTGATGGAGGTTGTGGGAGGAGATGGAGATGGTTACTGATCACTGGCATGCCCTGGGCCTTGACAGGTGCGTGTGCCTGCATGCCCTCGTATCCTCGTGCGCTCAAGACCCCATGCTCCTACGGTCCTGTTCTCCCATGCCTGCATGCCCTGATGGAGGTTGTGGGAGGAGATGGAGATGGTTACTGATCACTGGCATGCCCTGGGCCTTGACAGGTGCGTGTGCCTGCATGCCCTCGTATCCTCGTGCGCTCAAGACCCCATGCTCCTACGGTCCTGTTCTCCCATGCCTGCATGCCCTGATGGAGGTTGTGGGAGGAGATGGAGATGGTTACTGATCACTGGCATGCCCTGGGCCTTGACAGGTGCGTGTGCCTGCATGCCCTCGTATCCTCGTGCGCTCAAGACCCCATGCTCCTACGGTCCTGTTCTCCCATGCCTGCATGCCCTGATGGAGGTTGTGGGAGGAGATGGAGATGGTTACTGATCACTGGCATGCCCTGGGCCTTGACAGGTGCGTGTGCCTGCATGCCCTCGTATCCTCGTGCGCTCAAGACCCCATGCTCCTACGGTCCTGTTCTCCCATGCCTGCATGCCCTGATGGAGGTTGTGGGAGGAGATGGAGATGGTTACTGATCACTGGCATGCCCTGGGCCTTGACAGGTGCGTGTGCCTGCATGCCCTCGTATCCTCGTGCGCTCAAGACCCCATGCTCCTACGGTCCTGTTCTCCCATGCCTGCATGCCCTGATGGAGGTTGTGGGAGGAGATGGAGATGGTTACTGATCACTGGCATGCCCTGGGCCTTGACAGGTGCGTGTGCCTGCATGCCCTCGTATCCTCGTGCGCTCAAGACCCCATGCTCCTACGGTCCTGTTCTCCCATGCCTGCATGCCCTGATGGAGGTTGTGGGAGGAGATGGAGATGGTTACTGATCACTGGCATGCCCTGGGCCTTGACAGGTGCGTGTGCCTGCATGCCCTCGTATCCTCGTGCGCTCAAGACCCCATGCTCCTACGGTCCTGTTCTCCCATGCCTGCATGCCCTGATGGAGGTTGTGGGAGGAGATGGAGATGGTTACTGATCACTGGCATGCCCTGGGCCTTGACAGGTGCGTGTGCCTGCATGCCCTCGTATCCTCGTGCGCTCAAGACCCCATGCTCCTACGGTCCTGTTCTCCCATGCCTGCATGCCCTGATGGAGGTTGTGGGAGGAGATGGAGATGGTTACTGATCACTGGCATGCCCTGGGCCTTGACAGGTGCGTGTGCCTGCATGCCCTCGTATCCTCGTGCGCTCAAGACCCCATGCTCCTACGGTCCTGTTCTCCCATGCCTGCATGCCCTGATGGAGGTTGTGGGAGGAGATGGAGATGGTTACTGATCACTGGCATGCCCTGGGCCTTGACAGGTGCGTGTGCCTGCATGCCCTCGTATCCTCGTGCGCTCAAGACCCCATGCTCCTACGGTCCTGTTCTCCCATGCCTGCATGCCCTGATGGAGGTTGTGGGAGGAGATGGAGATGGTTACTGATCACTGGCATGCCCTGGGCCTTGACAGGTGCGTGTGCCTGCATGCCCTCGTATCCTCGTGCGCTCAAGACCCCATGCTCCTACGGTCCTGTTCTCCCATGCCTGCATGCCCTGATGGAGGTTGTGGGAGGAGATGGAGATGGTTACTGATCACTGGCATGCCCTGGGCCTTGACAGGTGCGTGTGCCTGCATGCCCTCGTATCCTCGTGCGCTCAAGACCCCATGCTCCTACGGTCCTGTTCTCCCATGCCTGCATGCCCTGATGGAGGTTGTGGGAGGAGATGGAGATGGTTACTGATCACTGGCATGCCCTGGGCCTTGACAGGTGCGTGTGCCTGCATGCCCTCGTATCCTCGTGCGCTCAAGACCCCATGCTCCTACGGTCCTGTTCTCCCATGCCTGCATGCCCTGATGGAGGTTGTGGGAGGAGATGGAGATGGTTACTGATCACTGGCATGCCCTGGGCCTTGACAGGTGCGTGTGCCTGCATGCCCTCGTATCCTCGTGCGCTCAAGACCCCATGCTCCTACGGTCCTGTTCTCCCATGCCTGCATGCCCTGATGGAGGTTGTGGGAGGAGATGGAGATGGTTACTGATCACTGGCATGCCCTGGGCCTTGACAGGTGCGTGTGCCTGCATGCCCTCGTATCCTCGTGCGCTCAAGACCCCATGCTCCTACGGTCCTGTTCTCCCATGCCTGCATGCCCTGATGGAGGTTGTGGGAGGAGATGGAGATGGTTACTGATCACTGGCATGCCCTGGGCCTTGACAGGTGCGTGTGCCTGCATGCCCTCGTATCCTCGTGCGCTCAAGACCCCATGCTCCTACGGTCCTGTTCTCCCATGCCTGCATGCCCTGATGGAGGTTGTGGGAGGAGATGGAGATGGTTACTGATCACTGGCATGCCCTGGGCCTTGACAGGTGCGTGTGCCTGCATGCCCTCGTATCCTCGTGCGCTCAAGACCCCATGCTCCTACGGTCCTGTTCTCCCATGCCTGCATGCCCTGATGGAGGTTGTGGGAGGAGATGGAGATGGTTACTGATCACTGGCATGCCCTGGGCCTTGACAGGTGCGTGTGCCTGCATGCCCTCGTATCCTCGTGCGCTCAAGACCCCATGCTCCTACGGTCCTGTTCTCCCATGCCTGCATGCCCTGATGGAGGTTGTGGGAGGAGATGGAGATGGTTACTGATCACTGGCATGCCCTGGGCCTTGACAGGTGCGTGTGCCTGCATGCCCTCGTATCCTCGTGCGCTCAAGACCCCATGCTCCTACGGTCCTGTTCTCCCATGCCTGCATGCCCTGATGGAGGTTGTGGGAGGAGATGGAGATGGTTACTGATCACTGGCATGCCCTGGGCCTTGACAGGTGCGTGTGCCTGCATGCCCTCGTATCCTCGTGCGCTCAAGACCCCATGCTCCTACGGTCCTGTTCTCCCATGCCTGCATGCCCTGATGGAGGTTGTGGGAGGAGATGGAGATGGTTACTGATCACTGGCATGCCCTGGGCCTTGACAGGTGCGTGTGCCTGCATGCCCTCGTATCCTCGTGCGCTCAAGACCCCATGCTCCTACGGTCCTGTTCTCCCATGCCTGCATGCCCTGATGGAGGTTGTGGGAGGAGATGGAGATGGTTACTGATCACTGGCATGCCCTGGGCCTTGACAGGTGCGTGTGCCTGCATGCCCTCGTATCCTCGTGCGCTCAAGACCCCATGCTCCTACGGTCCTGTTCTCCCATGCCTGCATGCCCTGATGGAGGTTGTGGGAGGAGATGGAGATGGTTACTGATCACTGGCATGCCCTGGGCCTTGACAGGTGCGTGTGCCTGCATGCCCTCGTATCCTCGTGCGCTCAAGACCCCATGCTCCTACGGTCCTGTTCTCCCATGCCTGCATGCCCTGATGGAGGTTGTGGGAGGAGATGGAGATGGTTACTGATCACTGGCATGCCCTGGGCCTTGACAGGTGCGTGTGCCTGCATGCCCTCGTATCCTCGTGCGCTCAAGACCCCATGCTCCTACGGTCCTGTTCTCCCATGCCTGCATGCCCTGATGGAGGTTGTGGGAGGAGATGGAGATGGTTACTGATCACTGGCATGCCCTGGGCCTTGACAGGTGCGTGTGCCTGCATGCCCTCGTATCCTCGTGCGCTCAAGACCCCATGCTCCTACGGTCCTGTTCTCCCATGCCTGCATGCCCTGATGGAGGTTGTGGGAGGAGATGGAGATGGTTACTGATCACTGGCATGCCCTGGGCCTTGACAGGTGCGTGTGCCTGCATGCCCTCGTATCCTCGTGCGCTCAAGACCCCATGCTCCTACGGTCCTGTTCTCCCATGCCTGCATGCCCTGATGGAGGTTGTGGGAGGAGATGGAGATGGTTACTGATCACTGGCATGCCCTGGGCCTTGACAGGTGCGTGTGCCTGCATGCCCTCGTATCCTCGTGCGCTCAAGACCCCATGCTCCTACGGTCCTGTTCTCCCATGCCTGCATGCCCTGATGGAGGTTGTGGGAGGAGATGGAGATGGTTACTGATCACTGGCATGCCCTGGGCCTTGACAGGTGCGTGTGCCTGCATGCCCTCGTATCCTCGTGCGCTCAAGACCCCATGCTCCTACGGTCCTGTTCTCCCATGCCTGCATGCCCTGATGGAGGTTGTGGGAGGAGATGGAGATGGTTACTGATCACTGGCATGCCCTGGGCCTTGACAGGTGCGTGTGCCTGCATGCCCTCGTATCCTCGTGCGCTCAAGACCCCATGCTCCTACGGTCCTGTTCTCCCATGCCTGCATGCCCTGATGGAGGTTGTGGGAGGAGATGGAGATGGTTACTGATCACTGGCATGCCCTGGGCCTTGACAGGTGCGTGTGCCTGCATGCCCTCGTATCCTCGTGCGCTCAAGACCCCATGCTCCTACGGTCCTGTTCTCCCATGCCTGCATGCCCTGATGGAGGTTGTGGGAGGAGATGGAGATGGTTACTGATCACTGGCATGCCCTGGGCCTTGACAGGTGCGTGTGCCTGCATGCCCTCGTATCCTCGTGCGCTCAAGACCCCATGCTCCTACGGTCCTGTTCTCCCATGCCTGCATGCCCTGATGGAGGTTGTGGGAGGAGATGGAGATGGTTACTGATCACTGGCATGCCCTGGGCCTTGACAGGTGCGTGTGCCTGCATGCCCTCGTATCCTCGTGCGCTCAAGACCCCATGCTCCTACGGTCCTGTTCTCCCATGCCTGCATGCCCTGATGGAGGTTGTGGGAGGAGATGGAGATGGTTACTGATCACTGGCATGCCCTGGGCCTTGACAGGTGCGTGTGCCTGCATGCCCTCGTATCCTCGTGCGCTCAAGACCCCATGCTCCTACGGTCCTGTTCTCCCATGCCTGCATGCCCTGATGGAGGTTGTGGGAGGAGATGGAGATGGTTACTGATCACTGGCATGCCCTGGGCCTTGACAGGTGCGTGTGCCTGCATGCCCTCGTATCCTCGTGCGCTCAAGACCCCATGCTCCTACGGTCCTGTTCTCCCATGCCTGCATGCCCTGATGGAGGTTGTGGGAGGAGATGGAGATGGTTACTGATCACTGGCATGCCCTGGGCCTTGACAGGTGCGTGTGCCTGCATGCCCTCGTATCCTCGTGCGCTCAAGACCCCATGCTCCTACGGTCCTGTTCTCCCATGCCTGCATGCCCTGATGGAGGTTGTGGGAGGAGATGGAGATGGTTACTGATCACTGGCATGCCCTGGGCCTTGACAGGTGCGTGTGCCTGCATGCCCTCGTATCCTCGTGCGCTCAAGACCCCATGCTCCTACGGTCCTGTTCTCCCATGCCTGCATGCCCTGATGGAGGTTGTGGGAGGAGATGGAGATGGTTACTGATCACTGGCATGCCCTGGGCCTTGACAGGTGCGTGTGCCTGCATGCCCTCGTATCCTCGTGCGCTCAAGACCCCATGCTCCTACGGTCCTGTTCTCCCATGCCTGCATGCCCTGATGGAGGTTGTGGGAGGAGATGGAGATGGTTACTGATCACTGGCATGCCCTGGGCCTTGACAGGTGCGTGTGCCTGCATGCCCTCGTATCCTCGTGCGCTCAAGACCCCATGCTCCTACGGTCCTGTTCTCCCATGCCTGCATGCCCTGATGGAGGTTGTGGGAGGAGATGGAGATGGTTACTGATCACTGGCATGCCCTGGGCCTTGACAGGTGCGTGTGCCTGCATGCCCTCGTATCCTCGTGCGCTCAAGACCCCATGCTCCTACGGTCCTGTTCTCCCATGCCTGCATGCCCTGATGGAGGTTGTGGGAGGAGATGGAGATGGTTACTGATCACTGGCATGCCCTGGGCCTTGACAGGTGCGTGTGCCTGCATGCCCTCGTATCCTCGTGCGCTCAAGACCCCATGCTCCTACGGTCCTGTTCTCCCATGCCTGCATGCCCTGATGGAGGTTGTGGGAGGAGATGGAGATGGTTACTGATCACTGGCATGCCCTGGGCCTTGACAGGTGCGTGTGCCTGCATGCCCTCGTATCCTCGTGCGCTCAAGACCCCATGCTCCTACGGTCCTGTTCTCCCATGCCTGCATGCCCTGATGGAGGTTGTGGGAGGAGATGGAGATGGTTACTGATCACTGGCATGCCCTGGGCCTTGACAGGTGCGTGTGCCTGCATGCCCTCGTATCCTCGTGCGCTCAAGACCCCATGCTCCTACGGTCCTGTTCTCCCATGCCTGCATGCCCTGATGGAGGTTGTGGGAGGAGATGGAGATGGTTACTGATCACTGGCATGCCCTGGGCCTTGACAGGTGCGTGTGCCTGCATGCCCTCGTATCCTCGTGCGCTCAAGACCCCATGCTCCTACGGTCCTGTTCTCCCATGCCTGCATGCCCTGATGGAGGTTGTGGGAGGAGATGGAGATGGTTACTGATCACTGGCATGCCCTGGGCCTTGACAGGTGCGTGTGCCTGCATGCCCTCGTATCCTCGTGCGCTCAAGACCCCATGCTCCTACGGTCCTGTTCTCCCATGCCTGCATGCCCTGATGGAGGTTGTGGGAGGAGATGGAGATGGTTACTGATCACTGGCATGCCCTGGGCCTTGACAGGTGCGTGTGCCTGCATGCCCTCGTATCCTCGTGCGCTCAAGACCCCATGCTCCTACGGTCCTGTTCTCCCATGCCTGCATGCCCTGATGGAGGTTGTGGGAGGAGATGGAGATGGTTACTGATCACTGGCATGCCCTGGGCCTTGACAGGTGCGTGTGCCTGCATGCCCACATGCTACCCGTGGCTCCATAACCCCTAGATTCCATACCAGCACGCCCCCATGCCGACATGGCCTCACGCTCCTTTGTGTATGTGTGTGTGTGTGTGTGTGTGTGTGTGTGTGTGTGTGTGTGTGTGTGTGTGTACGTGTTTGTGTATCTAAATCTATCTGCATCTCCATGTGCATGTGCATGTGCATGTGCATGTGCATCTCCATGTGCATGTGCATGTGCATGTGCATGTGCATGTGCATGTGCATGTGCCTGTGCCTGTGCCTGTGCCTGTGCATGCGCATGCGCATGTGCATGTGCCCTGTGCCTGTGCATGTGCATGTGCCTGTGCATGTGCATGTGCATGTGCATGTGCCTGTGTCCGTGCCTGTGCCTGTCATTGCATGTGCATTCCGTACGTGCCCCTGCTGCATGTAATTGTGGATCCCTGCAGCTCCCGGGGTCACAGCATTCCAAAAGCAGAGATCAAGGTGAGTGAGCCTTCATTCCTTCTGCCTCTCATTTCCTTCATCCCATTTGAAGAAGTTGCCGTCCACCACACTCATCATTTCACATTGCACTCGCTCGCCATCTTTCTGTGTTTACGTGTGACCGCAAGCAAATGGCTTTCGGCCGCATTTGACTCGGTTTTCTCTCAGTTGCCTAACCGCTCTCTGTCTTGCTCCCCTTGGGCGCAATTTCTCCCTCTCCAACTCTCCCTCTCTTCGTTGAACTCACTTGCTCATTCACGCTCGCTCACTCGTGCAACCACGCACGCCACACACTCACACCATTCAACCAGGCTGCATTCCGTGCCAAGGCCATGGAGCATCATCCTGACAGGAACCAAGACAATCAAGGTATGCCTCACCTCCCTTCGCCTCACTTCGCCTCGCCGCGCCTCGCCTCACCCTGCCTCGCCTCTCGTCATCTCACCTCATCTCACCCCGCCCTGCCTCACCTCAACTCATCTCAATTCTCTTCACCTGTCTTCACCTCACCTCACCTCCTCACCTCACCTCACCTCACCTCACTTCCTCACCTCACCTCACCTCACCTCACCCTACTCCCTCACTCACGACCTCTTTTCAGTCAGTACCAACTTTTCTTGCCAGTCCTTTTCTCCATGATGCCAAACTGGTTCCACTCCTCTCCTCCAACTCATGTCTCCAACACGTGCCTGCCTGTGCTCAACTCTCCTCTCTGCTTTCCACTCTCTCCGCTCTCGCAACCCCTTCCTCACTTTCCATCCTCTCTACTCTCTCTACTCTCTTCCAGAGCGAGCAGCTGTGAATTTCCGCCGTGTCCTCACGGCCTACGAGTTCCTCTCGTCTCGGGGCAAACAGGCAGCTCGCCGCTAGTCAAGTCACCCGCACTGACTCCCTCGGGTAGTTCAGCGGTGCGTGGATAGGTGGTGTCCCCCGGGGGTGTTACTTACAGTGGTACGTTAATTCTAGTTACAACTCCAAAAACTTCACTGGTACCGTATCAGTGTTGTAGGGTTTTATTTTATTTCTTACGATGACATCAGGGCTGGGCTGGATCTTCTGTAGCCCCTTTTTGACATGTACGGTACAGTAATGGTATGCTGCAGCTCACACTGGTGCTAGGATACCGTAGGAGTTTTTCTGCACTTGTGAAAGCAGACCACATGGCATGGCAGTGAAAGCAGCTGAGCTGACTTTAGGTGTTGTTCAGACTAGGTATGCACATGCACTTGCAGGTAGGGAAACATTACAGGGATATAGAAATCCCAGCCTGCTTCCGTAGAAGCGTTCGCTTACAGAATTCACAGGTGTGTCCTGCCTGAACTCTAGATATCCACACCGCACCAAAGCTACACATACGGTACCAATCACCGCTGGAGACAGACCGCATCAGACCACGCTGGACTGCGCAGGACCGCATCAGCACTGAACTGGTTCAGACTGGACCATTCTGCCAAGACCGAGTGTGTAAGTAAACTAGTGGCCCCAAACCACACCAGCAACCGCACAGTGTAGACTAGACTATGCGTGAAATGGTAACAGCAATGCTTAATACCTGCCGCGGCGCCACGGCAAGCAGTGCAACGATGGGATGGGAAACCATTGGCAAAGTAGCACTGCGGCAACAGCGAGAAGAGAGGAGCCAACGAGTCAGGACCAGAACCGGCCTAGACAGAAGCGCAGGAGAAGCATGGCTGCATCGTGTGTGAGTGGCAGGAGGAATAGCAAAGCCTGGTGGGCAGATGTACACATGGGTAGATGATGCAGGGTCAGAGAGAGGGGAAGGAGGGTGTGATGGGAACAGGGTAATGTGTGAAACGAGAATGAGGGTGTGAGAACTCGCCAGCGAGTGGTGGGAGTAGGAGTGAAAGGGTGAGGGGTAGGGTAGCATGGAGACGCGGGAGAGGAAGTGAGAAACATATGGAATCACTGAGTATAAAGGAATAGGAAGTGAAGGGGGGTGAGGGAGAGTGGGAGATGGAGACACTGTGGAGTGGGGAAGAGGGGGTAACGGGGTGTGGGGGCAACAGTCAGGAACAGTCAGGAGGGAGGAGCCAGGCTGGTTAGGGGTGAGGTGGGGGGGTCGAAAGGAGGGATGAGAAAGAGTGCTAAGGCAAGGTGGGAACATGAGCAAGTGAGAATGGAAACAGTCCAGCGCACGCGCGCGCGCACACACACACACACACACACACACACACACACACACACACACACACACACACACACACACACACCTGTCGGCCTAGTGCCTTAACAGCATCTTCAGGAAGACGTCGAGAAGCATGCATCTGTGCTGCTGCACCACTGGACCGTTCCCGAGACAATCCTGTCCGTTCATCAGTGAATGAAGGCCGCAGTATCAGTGCATGCGATACTTGATGCTGGTGAGACGATGCTGATGGGGATGAGGATGGGGAGGAGAGCAGGGCGCGGGTGAGCAGCATGTGCAGCCAGGACCAGTTCTCGTGCGCTCGGACAAACCACGTGAGGAAACTGTTTGCTCCACTTGCGCTGGTACCGTCACTTTCACCAACACCAACAGCAGCAGCAGCAGAAGCAGCAGCAGCACCACTACTGCCGTTACAAGCAGCAGGAGCGGAAGCAGAAGGGCCGCAGGCATTGTGAGAGAGAGCACGGCCACCCACTCCCACAATCCCTCTTTCTCTATCCAGCCTGCTGCTGCGGGCCCTCCACTTGTCCACCCACTCCCTCCCCATCCCTGCTCCTGCTCCCGCTCCGCCCGCACCCATCCCTCCTCCCACCACACCTGACCAAACCCTGCCCCACCGCACTGGACTGCGTGCTCGTGTGTGAGCCAGGGCCTGCCAGCGCTGGCGCTGGAGAAGCAGCAAGAAGCGGGCGTGCAGGAGGGTAGCTTGGTGGGGGGAGGAGCAGCGGGCGAGGAGGCGAGAGAGGGCTGCTTGGGACGCTGCAGGAGAGGATGTGTGGGAGGAGACGCGGGAGGAGCGGGAGAAGAGAAGAGAGGAGCGGAGGGAGGAGAGGGGGACGAGGAATATTTGTAGGAAAGTATGTGCTATGCTGCTGGTGAGGTGGGTGGGAGGGGTGCTGACAGCTCTGGTAACTACAGCCCGCACAGCAGCAGGAGGAAGAGTTGCGAAGTTACGGGCGAGGAAACGGGTGAGGAGGACTCGAAGGAGAAGGGCAGCAGACATGCCGCTGAGAAAGCAGAGCACACCAAGGCCGATGTGCCGCTTGTCAAGGCAGCATCCGCCTTGCTGGGATGGTGGGGTGGTGGCATGCGTGCAGGTGCAGGTGCAGGTGCAGGTGTTTAAACTGCAGGTGCCAGTGCCAGTGCCAGTGCCAGTGCCAGTGCCAGTGCCAGTGCCAGTGCCAGTGCTGGTGCAGGTGCAGGTGCAGGTGCTGGTGTGGTGGGGTTGTGAATGTGCATGCTTGCAGTGAGAGGTCTGGCGCACTGGAGACGGAGTGCATGTGGTAACAGCAGCAGCACTGGCACAACCACCACTGCCAGTGCCAGCAGGAGCAGACACAGTAGCTTCCCCAGCAGCAGCAAGGGGGGGAGGAGGAGGAGGAGGAGGCGCAGCTTGATCACCCCTCGCGGCACCATCGCAGCCCCTAGTTGCGTAAGCATTGCCACAAGAAACAGCGGCAGCAGGCCCCACAACAGAAGCCGCACAGCATTGCCTTTCCTCATAGCAGCCGCTGCTGCCGCTGCCGCTGCTGCTGCTGCTGGTGGTAACAGTCCAGCCGTGCTCAAAATTTCCATCTTCGCTTGCAGCCACAATGCGATCGGTTGCTGCTGCTACTGCTGCCACAGCAGCACACACAGCTCTCTGCTGGTCGGGAACACCGCTACTGCTGCTAACACGCTTCTTCCCCTCCTGCTGCTTCTCCTTCTGCTCCTCCTGCTGCTTCGCCTGCTGCTCCCCCTGTTGTTGCACCGTCTGTGACAAACGCACAGCACACGAACCCACTTCCTCCACGCACACACGTTCGTGTGCCCACCCTGCCGCTGCCTCACACCCTGCCTCGCAACCTTCCTGTCCTGTGCAGCCCTGGCAACATGGTTTACCGCATCGGTTGTCTCTACCACGATCCAGTTCGCAACTACCTTCAGTGCCATACGGTGTGAACCTCAGCCGCCCCTCTCCCTGTTTCTCACCCAGTTCCTGCACCTGCCTTTGTGACAAACTTAATAGCTTCTTCTCCTGCTGTAGTGATTGCAGCTGCTGCAGACTCAAAAGTGGCAGCTGCTGCTCCTGTTTCTGCTCCTGTTCCCGTTCCCGTTCCCGTTCTTTCCCTTGCACTTCTTCCTGTTGCTGATGCTGCAGCCTCTGTTCCTCCTGCTGTCGCTGCACGTGCAGCAGCAGCAGGTCAACGGCAGCATCAAGGAGAGCCGCATGCGAGGGATAGTTCTGCCAAGACGGACTGCTGGGACGTTCAAACACAGCAGCAGCAGCAGCAGCAGCAGCAGCAGCAAATGGCACAGAGATAGGAAGAGGAGGAACATGGGAGGGAAAGAAAGGTGAATAAAAACAAGGGCCATTCAAAAACTAGACCACGATTCCTCTTGCGTGACAGAGGTAGTGAGCAGCAGATGATCATCACTCAACGCAATCGCACACGAAAAACAGGAAGGCGAGACAGAAGAAGCAGCAGTGTGGGGCACAAAGGACAACAGAGAGGCACGAGCAAAGCAGAGCAGAGGGGCACGTACGAGGCAGATGAGTGAAGCAGCGGCATGCACTCCCTGCTGCTTCTTCTCCCGCTGCTGCTTCTTCCAGAGCCTTCGTTACTGCTGCTGCTGCTACTGCTGCCGCTGCTCCTGCTCGTGCAATCGCATCCACTTGCTGCACTGCTTGCCGCGCTGCTTTCTTCGTTATTCCCATCCAGAATAGGGTTATCCATTCGTCTCTTGGCCTTCCCCCCGTCGCCACTGCCGCTCTCTTCACCAACAACATGTGGGCATGGTCGCAGACGGTAGTGGGCATGGTCACTGCTACCATATGGGTACTGGTTCTCGGTATCGTTATGGTTATGGTGGTGGTGGCGCAGCTGATGCTCATGGTGATGGTGATGGTGGGGGTGCGGGCGGTGGGTGTAGCAGCAGGGAGAGGGATGTTGAGGGGAGTGGAAGTGTGCGCAGGAGGAGTGTAGGAAGGGTGAGATAGAAGAGCGTGGGGAGTCGGTTGACTGGGGATGGTACGAGCAGGTTAAGAGAGAGGGATTTCCGCGTGATTCTATGGTTGCTGCTGCTGCTGCTACTGTTGACGATGGTGATGGGTGCTGCTGGTCACTCTCCTCCGCCGCATCCTCTTGTAACGAGGAGCTCAATGAAGCGGACGAGCGTGAGAGTGCGGCGGAGTGAAGGGCCTGTAGCGGAAGGGGATCGATCTGATGTGGTGGACACCAGGAAGAGGAGGAGGAGCTCTCGAAATTCACGAGATTCGCGAGATTCGCGAGATTCGCGAGATGCACATCACCGGCCATGTGCTGTGATGCCACAGCACCAACACCACATGGCACAGGCGGCATACATGCGTCCCCAACGGTACATTTGCGCTCGGCATTATCGCCGTCAGCATTCCCACCACTGCTCGATCCCCCTCCCTTTGGACACCTCGTTTCTCCCTCTTGCGCCTCGACTTCCGCCTCTTGCGTCTCCTCCCCGCATTCCCGCCGTTCCGCCATCCACGCCCCCACGCTCTCCGCGCGCCTGCGCTTTCCTACCACTGCACTTCCACAGCTGTCACCCGTTATGATCATCGCATCCCACGCGCGCACTGCTGCCGCCGTGGCACTCGCTGACGTGTCTACGGCATTCGCTGCCGTGTCCACGGGCCTCCCTGACGTGTCCACTACCGGAAAGTCCGCCGCCCTTTGCGGCCTCATTATTGCTTCGACACGGTGGAGCAATGCTAGTGGTAATATCGTGATCCGTTTTCTCACGGTTCCGGTATGGCGCTGTCTAGTGCGACTCGTGGCAGCGTGCGCGATCGTCTATTAAGCTCATTCACCGCGTTCCCGCGGCGGCGATACCGTCGCTTCCCTGCGCACCGCAGCCTGCCTCGTGATACAGATCGCGAGTTTTTCAGGGATAACGCGCATAGCTAACAGTCAGCCGCCGATGCTGCGTCGCAACCTTGGCGGAAAAACAAAACAAAACAAAACAAAAACGTCCCACACAGATCGGCTTAGTCACGCCCAAAGGCGGTGCCTTGTCTCGTCACGGTGGTGTGGTGAAGCACTGAGTGTTGGGCGGGAGGAGTAGGAGGACACGGGCGCATTGTGAGTGCTAGGAGCACAGCAGTGACCTGGTGACATATTCTTGGCACTTGGGGAGCGAATTTGATATAGGGCAACAAGGGAGGTGGTGGGGAAAGTCGTGGGGGGGAAAGGGTGTGGGGGGAGGGGGGAGGCGGGTCGAATTGAAAGAGCGCGAGTTTGGAAAGTCCAGCCAGTCTAGTGACATGGCAAGGGGAAAAGGCAGCGAAGGTCACCTAGCGCGGTGGAATGATGCCAGGAAGTCAGGATATTCTTGCAATGAATGATCCGCTTTCTCAGCCTTCTTGTACAAGAAGTGTTTCAAAAAGAGTGACATTTGTTAAACCGCTAATGTGATATACATTATAGTTCAATCCGTAAAGTCGATTCCAGACGTAAAAACACTGCTGTTTTATGCTTCATTAATATCTCATGTCAAGACAGGTCCATCTCCTTTTTAAGTTGATGCTTCCGCATTTGTCCATTTTGTTCACTGTATGTGCTTCCCAACCTGACAAAGAAAGGTGCACCTGAACGTAGATGTCTAAAACGAAGCACAACCCGTCAGGTCCTCAACGGCACTTTCCCCTTCAGGCAATGCCGATCTCCGCCATTTTCGCCTTTCTAGCCATTTACGTCCCTGATGCACGCACATCACATATCCTACCACATACAACAAGCAGCGTTTTTGCAGCCGTTGCACTGCACGGCATTCTCATCCGGCGTTTTTGCAGCCGTTGCACTGCACGGCATTCTCATCCGACCGTCCTCTTTCAAGCCCTAATTTAAATTCTGCCTTCCAGTGCAGCGTACAGATTTTCTTACTACTAATTCTCTCGAAGCTTGCTCCAAGTAAGCGCCGCCAGGTTAATTTATTTCATGGGAAACGGTCAGTCGCATGACGACTCCGACTCGGGAACCGAGGATGAGCTTAGCGGTTCCGAAGAGGAGGACGAAGAATTGGAGGACGAGGAGGACGGAAAGGCGTCTCCGAACAACGAGCCTGACGGAAAGGCGTCTCCGGAAAAGTCGGGGAAGACCTCCTTCTCTCGCGAAAACGCAGCCGCATTACTGCCGGGAAAGCCGGCCGATGCAGCGGATAGTGGAAACGACGCGAGGGAAGGAGGAGCAGGAGGAGGAGAAGGAGAGGAAAAAATTGGAAATGGAGGGAGAGCGACGGCGGCGAGAGGAAGGCATGGCGGAGAGGTAGGAGACGCTGGAAGCACGTTCGGCGCAGTGGCTGGGTCAGGGGGGGCCGCCGATACGGTCGAGAATACCGAGAGCGGCGGGAACGCCGGAGACTGGGATCTGGCGTGGGATGACGAGACGGACGAGGAGAAGGAGAAGGCGGAGGGGAAGGCGGAGCGGAAGGCGGAGGGGAAGGCGGAGGAGGGGAAGACCGCGCAGACGGCGAAGGACGGCGAAAGAGAGGAGGAGAACAACGCGGGTGCGACTGGCAGTGAAGCAACCGTAGCTGCTGCCACAGCAACAGCAGCGCATCCTTCTCTTCTATCCGCAACAGCTGCTGCTGTGGCTGCTGCCGCTGGCTCTGCTGATCCTGCTGCCGCTGGCTCTGCTGATCCTGCTGCCGCTGGCTCTGCTGATCCTGCTGCCGCTGGCTCTGCTGATCCTGCTGCCGCTGCCGCTGTTGCCGCTGCTGCTGCTGCTTCGACTACTACTCCTCCCGCTCCACTTGTTCCAGTCGCTGCTGCTGCTACTGCTTCTTCTTCTCCTTCTCCTACCGCTGCCGCTGTCAAGTCCGCGGAGGGGGGGAGTGGCGGAATGGCGCGGGCGTGGGACGAGTTCGCGGAGGGCAAGGGCGCGTCGTCGTTCATGGACGCGTCGCGCCCGCTCTCGTCGCACCCCTTCATGCACGGCCCTGCCATGCCCCGCGCCGACATCTGCACCGAGTTCTACATCATCCGGTACTGTGCTGCGCGCCCCGCATGTCTCTCTGCTTGTCTATCTGGTATCTGTCTGTCTAGCTGCCCGTCTCGCTGCCTGCCTGCCTCCCTGCCATGCCCTGCGCCGGCATCTGCACTGAGTTCTACATCATCCGGTACCTCTTGAGCCCCCCCCCCTCGCGCATGTCTCTCCGTCTGTCTAGCTGTCTCTCTCTCTCTCTCTCTCTCTCTCTCTCTCTCTCTCTCTCTCTCTCTCTCTCTCTCTCTCTCTCTCTGCCAGCCTGCCTGTCTCCCTCCCTGCCTCTCTGCCTGCCTGCCATGCCCAGCGCCAGCATCTGCAGCGACTTCTACATCATCTGGTACCGTTCTCCCCGCTTCTCTCTCTGGCTGCTTGTCTACCAATCTCTGGGGCGCCTAAAGAAAGAATGCATTAAAAAATAAACAAAATAGAAGACAGAAATGTTGTTTTTTATAGGCCTGATTGTCTGTCTGTTTGTCTAGCTGGCTGTCTCTCTGCCTGCCTGCCTGCCTGCCTGCCTGCCTGCCGCCCACCTTCCCCCAGAGTCACGGGGAGGCAGCCTACCAAGTGTCGGCGCTCATCGTCGCAGGCAGCTCTCACCTATCTCTGAGGCTCCTGAAATATTGCCTCCCCACTTATCTCTCTCCCCTGCCTCCTCCACCTCCCCCACCCCCCATGCCCCCCCATCGCCCTGTCTTTTCCAGTCACTAGGAGGCAGCTCACAACGTGTCGACGCTCATAGGGGGCCGGTCGCCGCAGGCAGCACTGCCCTATTGTTCCTTCAAAAACAGTCCCCCCACTTCCGCACCTCCCTGGCCTTCCCGCTGTCCCACCCCCCACAGTCACGGGGAGGCGGCGCACAACGTGTCGACGCTCATAGGGGGGCGGTCGCCGCAGGCAGCACTCACCCCTTTAGGCGAGCAGCAGGCGGTGCTGCTGGGGCGCTACCTGCGGGACTACGTGGGCGTGCGCTTCCATGCCATCTTCTCCTCGCCCATCGAGCGCTCCAAACGCACTGCCATCCTCGCCTGCCAGGTCAGCACACCGATTGAGGTGTTTTTTTTTTTTTTTTTTTTTTTTTTTTTTAACCAGGCGAGAATGGCAGTGCGCCTTAAAAATAGGACAAACGCACTGCCATCCTCGCCTGCCAGGTGCGTGGTGCTGCTTGCCAGGTGTGTGGTGCTGCTTGCCAGGTGTGTGGTGCTGCTTGCCAGGTGTGTGGTGCTGCCTGCCAGGTGTGTGGTGCTGCTTGCCAGGTGTGTGGTGCTGCTTGCCAGGTGTGTGGTGCTGCCTGCCAGGTGTGTGGTGCTGCTTGCCAGGTGTGTGGTGCTGCTTGCCAGGTGTGTGGTGCTGCCTGCCAGGTGTGTGGTGCTGCTTGCCAGGTGTGTGGTGCTGCTTGCCAGGTGTGTGGTGCTGCTTGCCAGGTGTGTGGTGCTGCCTGCCAGGTGTGTGGTGCTGCTTGCCAGGTGTGTGGTATTTATTTTGAGTCGCCTGGGGAGTTACCTGCGGGATTACGTGGGGTTGGGTTGGGTTTCTCTTCCACGCCATCTTCTCCTCGCTCATTGAGCGCTTTAAACCGATCGCACTGCCATCCTCGCCTGCGAGGTCAGCACCCGGACCGTGTGAGTCCCTCCCCTCCCCTCTCATCCCTCCCCTCCCTCTCCTCCCCTCCCCTCCCCTCCCTTCCCCTCCCCTCCCCTCCCCTCCCCTCCCTTCCCCTCCCCTCCCCTCCCCTCCCCTCCCTCTCCTCCCCTCCCCTCCCCTCCCTTCCCCTCCCCTCCCCTCCCCTCCCCTCCCTCTCCTCCCCTCCCCTCCCCTCCCCTCCCCTCCCCTCCCCTCCCCTCCCCTCCCCTCCCCTCCCCTCCCCTCCCATCCCCACTCCCTCCGCCCTCCCCGTGGCCCCTGCAGGAGATGGGGGTGGCGGAGAGCATGATCCGGTACGCAGACGAGCTGCAGGAGCTCAGCCAGGGGCAGTGGGAGCGCCAGCTACTCCCCTTCCCTCCGCTCTCATCGCTCCCCTCCCTTTCCTCCCTCCCCTCTCCCCTCCACTCCCCTCCCCTCCCCTCCCCTCCCCTCCTCTCCCTCCCCTCCCTCCCTTCCTCCCCTCCCTCCCTCCCTTCCCCCCCTCCCCCCTCCCCTCCCTCCCTCCCCACTCGCCTTCCCACTCCCTCCCCACTCCCTTCGCCACCGCAGGAGATGGGGGTGGCGGAGAGCATGATCCGGTATGCGGACGAGCTGCAGGAGCTCAGCCAGGGGCAGTGGGAGCGGCAGCCGCGCGCACGCATCTACCAGCGCGGTGTGCTGGAGCAGATGGTGGCCGCTCAGCCCGACTTCAGGGCGCCCGGGGGGGAGAGCCAGCGACAGGCACGCAGGGGCTGGATTGGGAGCGGTGGGATGGGATGGGATGGGAAGGGATGGGAAGGGATGGGAAGGGAAGGAAGGAGGGAAAGCATTCGAAAGGCAAGGGAAGGGCTTTTGAGATGCATCAGGTAGCGTCTACCAGCGCAGCGTGCTGAACAGATGGTGGCGGCTCAGCCCGACTTCAGAGTGATTGGGGGAGAGAGCCAGCGACAGGCACGCATGGGCTGGGGTGGAGGGAGGGGAAGGGGGGGTGAGGGAGGGGGGGGTGTTGTGGGATGGGGGATGGGATGGGATGGGATGGGATGGGATGGGATGGGATGGGATGGGATGGGATGGGATGGGATGAGGCGATGTGGTGTCTGGGTTTCAAGCCCTGGTGTCTAGGACACAGTCTGATGTTGATGTGGGTGTGGGATGTAGATATGGGTGCTAGTGTGTGGGGGGACAAGGTTGAAAGAGTTGTGCGAAACCTGGATGTAATCAGTTCACGTAATGAATCGGGGTGCGGTTCCATTGCTCGCGCTTGTGTTTGCATACCTTGAAAAGGCTGCCTGACCTTGTTGATCCCGTGTAGTTTGATTTTCCTACTGACACCCTTTTATCGCTCTATTTCCTTATGGTTTTCCTTCCCACACCTCTCTTTTTTCCTCCATCCCCCCTTCCTTCCCCCTTCCTCGTCCCATTTCCTGTTCCACCCCCCCTCCGTCCCCCCCTTCCTCAATATGTCAGGTTGAGTTCCGTATGGTTGAGTTTGTGAGCAACATCCTTTTTGTTCGACAGCATCTGGAAGCGCTTGCTTCCACTCCATCTGCACCCCCTTCCACCACACACCACCCTGCGTCAGCCCCACCCTCAAATCTGCCCACCACGCCTGCTAATGGTAACAGCAGCACTCCAGCATCTGCTAACAGCAGCACTCCAGCATCTGCTAACAGCAGCAGCAGCAGCAGCAGCAGCAGCAATCTTTCCAGCAGCACTGGCAGTGCAGTTAATGCACAAGGAGGTGGGGCAGCAGCTGATGATGTTTTCCGTGTGGCTGTTTTCTCCCACGGCACTGCAATACGGTGCCTTGTGCGTGGCGTTTTGGGTTCGGACCCTCATCTCACCCACAATATTGGCATTGACAACACTTCAATCTCTATTCTCCGTCACACCGCTCGGAAAGGGTGGCATCTGGTCAAGATGAATGACACCACACACCTCATTCTTGCCCGTGGTCCCCTAGGTCAACAAGATGCTTCCTCCTGATACACCTGTAATTGTGAACTATGTTTCTCTCTCTTATGATTAACATGAGAGTTTGCAGTACAAGACTGATTAAACGGCAATTTAGAGCTGTGGATGGTACATTAGTAGCAAACAGCAACTTTCATCGGAATCTAGATAACTACAACTGTTTTAAAGATAACCAGCTATTACAATCCATGAACACCAGGGGCCAGAATGAATAAATCAACATCCATATATTATTCCACTGTATCCAGACAAAAATAGCTTATCAACACTATCGAGAAACTTACTACACCGCATCGGAAGAACAATCGCTAGCACATATTAATATTTGTACAGTTCTCTCTCAACAAGAGCCTTCATTTACAAGGCCCAGCTCAGAGCTTCACGAGGGATCTCACACCCCAAGATGGATTGCTTGTTCCTCTCGTGTGTAAGCAAGAGCTAGGCGAGCCTCGTGAGGAGGCTGCAATGATTCTCCGCCACCTTGAGCGGAGAGAAGAAGCCCTCGATTCGAGCTTTCGGTGCGACCGTAACACTCACTTTACAGGTATCCAATCGAGGAAAATCCAGGGCCGGCATTTGGCTGGAAAACGCAGAAGACCGCCTGAAGTTGTTGTCGTTGACAATCGGGTTAGTAGAACGGCTAGGCGGAGACATGACCGGAAAATCTCCTGACAACGAATCCTGGAAGAACGATCACGGAACTTGATTAGCATTTGCTAGACATATTACGACAACAAGATGTTCGAACGCTTCCAAAGTGAACACAAAAAAATGGGACGCTCACTCACCCCTTTGCGTAGAATTTCCAACAGCTCCCTTCCAACGTCAGGATCCGCTTTTAAAGGCCCACAGCTGAACGCACAAGCCAGCGATAAATATCGTGAGTCAGGCCGACGTAAAGCATAAGGAATTTGATTTAACGAATGAATATAAGCACGGACCTGCGGGTCTTTCGCGTCCTCGCGTCCGATGCGTTGAAGACAGGAGCTCGGACATGCCTAGGGAATGCATATGTAGAGTTTGAGAACTGTGGAGATGTAGCTGTAGCTGCTCGCGGTTTCCTCCGTTCCAAAGAGTCGGCCTTTACGTCTGGCATATTCACCAGAACAGGAGCTGTGCTGCACATGTTTTCGGCCTTCACGAAGGGGATGCAGGTTGAGAAGGGGATGCAGGCCGTGAAGTACTCCTGCTGCTGCGCCCCTTAGCTGGAAGGCTTCAAGGGGTTGCCATTATAAGATGAAAATGGAAATGGCAACATACCCTCGTTCTTCTGAGAAGGCAGTCCAATACTTGAACCTGATGCAGCTCTGCGTTCCTTTCCTTCCCCCAACGGCTCGAGGAAGAGAGGGTGGGACAGGACAGCGACGCTGGACTGGCTAGAGGGGAAGCTCCCTCGCCGAAAAAATTGTGGAGGAGCGTCGAAGGGTTGGATGGATGGAGGAGGGGGCAGCTGCGATGCCGCTACCGTGTCGCCACGTCGGATCACGTAGCAGCCACGGCTGCCCACGCGGAAACAAAACATTCGACGAGGATCTGGGCACGTGAAGGCAAATATTTTGCCCTCAAAATAGCTAGGCACACTGCGGAAAAGAATTTGGTGGTGAGTACAGCGAATTTTGCAAGTGCATATTCGACACCATTTCATTTTCAGGGTGCAATCAGTTGGAGCAGACTTTTGGGATAATTGTGAAGAAGCCTTCTGATATCTTTAGAAGTAACGAATAGCTCCACTACATAATGGACACCAAACTCTCCGCCGCAAATATGAGCAAGTGGCGAGGGATCGAGGGTTTCCTTTCTTCCCATTCCAGTCGCCTCGACTCGTGATTACCCACACACACTTCAGCCTTTCAGGCTGACACAATCCACCTCACCAAGAACTTAGCTTCGCGAATTCTCGTCAATGGATCACTACGAAGGAGCGAAGGCGACAAACAAAGTAACGACTCTCCAATAAGAAACACACATTACAGTTGTAAGGAATTTTTCGGGATTCCTTACTGGGTCACACTGTACGCGTACAACCCCGGTTTTTGGAAAACCAGGCTCGGTCCGCCGACCTCGCCTTCCGAACCACCACCGCGTCGCCTTCGGGTTTTCCAACCCCGAACCTGCACCCAACCATCTCGCGACCCCGCGACCTCGGCCTAGCTAGCTTCGCTATATTAGTCCTAGGCCTCGTTGTGTTCTCAGACGTTGTAATCACTTCCGCATTATTGAGTTCTGCGCACTCTTCCTTTCACAACTCATAACACTTGGTATCAGAGCTACTTTCCTAGGTTACCCTCGCGTTTCCGGGGTAGTTTGTAGAAGGGGAGCGATAGACTTGGTGGGTTGTAAAGCGGTCGGCCCGTGGAATAGATCCGATTATTCCACTCCGACTACGATAGCATTTACGCCTTCACCGAAGTCAGAAAAATCGCGAGCCAACCCCTGCCCGTTCGACGAAGCCTGACGCACATGGAGCAGGCCGAGTTTAACGAGTTCATGCAACAGTTCCGTGCGATGCAGGCCAACTTGCAGGGTATGACTGCAGAGATGGAGCGTCTACGGAAGGAAAACGCCGAACTACACCAGGCGCGTGGTGAAGCGCGCCAGGAGTCGCCTGTCGTGGACGACGCAAGTAGCAGCACTGCACCAGATGAGCGGGTCTGAAGCGAGCTGGAAGGCGAGATAGATGCGGACGAGGCGAGGCAGGCGCAACAGCAGCAGTCACCACAACAGTCGCATGCAGCCCCGACACATGCAGCAGCGACGACGACGACGACGCCAACAGTGATGCCAACAGTCCCAGTGGCAGCAACGACTTTGACAACTGTTAAAATCAAGCCGATGAACCCGCCCCCGTTTAACCCAAGTGACAAGTTCGTCACTGTTTCTGCATGGTTGTTCGGCGTGGAGGTATTTTTCAATGCTGCCATGATTTATGACGATGCCACCCGCATTAATTTCGCAGTTTCACTGTTGCGAGGACCTGCGCTGGAGTGGTGGAGGCGAACGCTGCAGGACGAAGGGACTTCGGCAGGAATAGCACGTGCGAACAACACCTGTCACGCATCGAGCAGCATCAATTTTCGGGACGGCCACGATACGCACATGGAGGGAGTGGGGCGCCGCCTTGCGAACCAGGTTCGAGCATATATCCGCCTCGGACTCTGCTCGCATGAAGCTGCGTGCCTGGAAGCAGCTGACTTCAGTCCAAGACTACACCAGCACATTCTGCAACTTGGCGGACCAGGTGGACGACATGAGTGATGCGGAGCGGTTGGATCGCTACGTGGCGGGCCTGAAATATGAGATACAGTACGAGGTCCGACGAACCCGGCCACGCAGCTTCAACGACGCCGTCCGGGAAGCCGAGTCAACGGATGCGCTGATGCAGTGGGCGAGATCGAGCTCCCGGGAGGGCCCTCGATTTCGTGGATCGACTCAGCAGCCCACGATCAACGGCGTGGATGCACCAAGCCGAGCCCTTGGGTCGTGCTTCATATGCAACCAGCTGGGCCACCTGAAAAAAGACTGCCCGAGGCTTAAGCAGGGGAAGAAGAACGACGGAGAAGGGTCGGGAAAAGATGTGAGTCAGTAGCAGACGGGCCCCCTACTGACGAGACCCTGTCGCCCGACAATCACCATCCACACCGGGTCGTGGTGTCAAACTCATATGCTATAGTCTGTGTAGGATGTAGTGGGGTAGACAATATGGGGTACAACACTTTTAGGTTTTCCTACTTGTACCCACCTGTTTCCTAGTTCATCCATTCCTCATTCTTTCACATGGTATCAGAGCAGGTTCCCTAGTGGGAACGTTTCCTAGGGCCCACCGAATATCGTTTTTTTTTTCCTGCCCGGAGCGCGCTTCGCCCCTGCCCGAGTCGCGCCCCGTGTGCCTACCCTCCCGTCGCGTCCCCTGCCCTTAGTGGCCCGTCGCGCTCCCCTACGGCCCCGTAGCGGCCCCTCTCACGGCCTCTCACGGCCCCTCTCACGGCCCTTCGCGGCCCCTTCAGGCCCCTCGTGGCCCCTTCGCGGCCTCCCTTCGCGGCCCCCTTCGCGGCCCCTTCACGGCCCCTTCGCGGCACCTTCGCGGCCCCTTCGCGGCCCCTTCACGGCCCCTTCGCGGCCCCTTCACGGCCCCTTCGCGGCACCTTCGCGGCCCCCTCGCGGCCCCTTCGCGGCCCCTTCGCGGCCCCTTCACGGCCCCTTCACAGCCCCTTCGCGGCCCCTTCACGGCCCCCTCGCGGCCCCCTCGCGGCTCCCTTTGCGGCCCCTTCGCGGCCCCGCCCCGCTGCCCGTAGTGGCCCCGCCCTGTCGCCAGTCGCGGCCTCGCCCCGTCGCCAGTCGCGGCCCCGCCCCGTCGCCAGTCGCGGCCCCGCCGCGTCGCCCCCGCCTCGTCGCGTCGCCCCTGCGGGACCCGCGAGGCGCGGCTCCTGTGCGTCGCGACGCCCCTGCGGGACCCGCGTGGCGTCACCCCTGCCCGCCGCAGCGCCCTACCCTAACCCGTGCCCTGGAGCAGCCGCCACTGCAGCAGCCGCCCCTGGAGCAGCCGCCACTGCAGCAGCCGCCCCTGGAGCAGCCGCCACTGCAGCAGGCGCCCCTGGAGCAGCCGCCACTGCAGCAGCCGCCCCTGGAGCAGCCGCCCCTGCAGCAGCCGCCCCTGGAGCAGCCGCCACTGCAGCAGCCGCCCCTGGAGCAGCCTCCCCTGCAGCAGCCGCCCCTGGAGCAGCCGCCCCTGAAGCAGCCGCCACTGCAGTAGCCGCCCCTGGAGCAGCCACCCCTGCAGTAGCCGCCCCTGGAGCAGCCGCACCTGCAGCAGCCGCCCCTGGAGCAGCCGCCCCTGCAGCAGCCACCCCTGGAGCAGCCACCCCTGCAGCAGCCGCGCCTGGAGCAGCCGCCCCTGGAGCAGCCGCCACTGCAGCAGCCGCCCCTGGAGCAGCCACCCCTGCAGCAGCCGCC